TTGGGGCTTGTATACATGGGAACACTCAAGAAAATTAATCTGAATCAAAATTTAAAGGGGATTAGTTAAACTTCATTAAAGCCTGGTGTGGATGCTCTTATTCAGAATTAGTGACCTTAATTTGGTTTAATTTCTCTCAGTGAATTAAACTGAATTAAGGCCACTTTAATTCTGAATGAGACCATCCACACAGAAGCCTAATGCAGTTTAATTAATCCACTTTAAATTTACAGCTTTAGGCTTGGTCTAAACTTCAAAGTTATGTAGGCATAGCTGTGTTAGATAGGCGTGTCAAAAATCCCCACACCCAGACCAGCATAAAACCTCTAATTTAGATGCAGCTATGCCAGCAGAAGAGAGCTTTTGTTGATATAGCTAATGTCATTCAGGAAGGTTGTGTTCCTACACTGTCAGAAATACTCCTTTTGTCAGTGTAGGCTGCATCTAAACTTGGGGGCTATGTTGACATAATTGTGCTAAAATAGTTATGTCCGCATAGGCTCAATAGTGTGGTCATACCCTTGGTTAATTTGTATCAATTTCCTGAGTGTTCCCATGCAGACAAGGCCTAGCTTGCCTGTATTCCTTTAAAAAAGATCCAGAATAGAACTTCCTGGTTAGTTACCTAGAAGACCACCCCTCTTGAGGTCAGAATATGCAGTGAAATTGCTGCAGGTCATGATGTCTAGCCCTAACCAGTAACTCCATTTTTCAGTCCTTAATGAAACAGAAGGACAGGATCTAGCACTCTCTTCATACACTAAATTGTCATCTTAAATATAATTAGGAAGGCCAAAAAAGAATTTGAAGAACAGCTAGCCCAGAGGCTCAAAAAATAACAGCAAAAAAAATTTAAGTACATCAGAAGCAGGAAGCCTGCTAAAGAACCCGTGGGGCCACTGGACGTTCGAGATGCTAAAGAAACTCTCAAGGAAGATCAGGTCATTGTGGAGAAACTAAACGAGTTCTTTGCATTGGTCTTCATGGCTGAGAATGTGAGGGAGATTCCCAAACCTGAGCCATTCTGTTTAGGTGACACATCTGAGGAACTGTCCCAGATTGAGGTGTCATTAGAGGAGGTTTTGTTAGAAATTGATAAATTAAACAGTAAGTCACCAGGACCAGATGGTATTCACACAAGAGTTCTGAAGGAACTCAAATATGGAATGTCAGAACTAACTACTATGGTTTGTAACCTATCATTTTAAATCAGCTTCTGTATCAAATGACTGGAGGATGGCTAATGTGACGCGAATTTTTAAAAAGGACTCCAGGGGTGATCCTGGCAATTACAGGCCAGTAAGCCTGTCTTCAGTACCAAGCAAACTGATTGAAACTATAGTAAAGAACAGAATTATCAGACACTTAGATGAACATGATTTGTTGGAAGAGTCAATCATGGTTTTTGTAAAGGGAAATCATGCCTCACCAGTCTGCTAGAATTATCTGAGAGTGTCAACAAGCGTGTGGACAGGGTTGATCCAGTGGATATGGTGTACTTAGATGTTTTCAGAAAGCCTTTGAAAAGGTCCCTCATCAAAGGTGTTTAAGCAAAGAAAGCTGTCATTGGATAAGAGGGAAGGTCCTCTCATAGATCAGTACCTGGTTAAAAGATAGGAAACAGAGAAGGCATAAATGGTCAGTTTTCAGAATGGAGAGACGCAAATAGTGGTGTCCCCCCAGGGTCTGTACTGGGACCGGTGCTGTTCAACAGATTCATAAATGATGTGGAAAAAGGGGTAAACAGTGAGATGGCAAAATTTGCAGATGATACAAAAAACTCAAGATAAGTCCAAAGCAGATTGCAAAGAGTTAGAGGGTTCTCACAAAATGGGGTGATTGGGCAACAAAATGGCAGATGAAATTCAAAGTTTATAAATGCACAGTAATGCATATTGGACAACATAGTCCCAACTACACATATAAAACGATGGGCTCTAAATTAGCTGTTACCACTCAAGAAAAAGATCTTGGAGACATTATGGATAGTTCTCTGAAAACATCCACTCAAGTTGCAGCACCAGTCAAAAAAGCAAACAGAATGTTGGGAATCTTTGGGAAAGGGATAGATAAGAAGAGAGAAAATATCATATTGCCTCTATATAAATACATGGTACGCCCACATCTTGAATACTGCATGCAGATGTGGTTGCCCCATCTCAAAAAAGATACACTGGAATTGGAAAAGGTACCGAAAAGGGCAACAAAAATGATTAGGGGTATGGAACAGCTGCTGTATGAGGAGAAATTAATACGATTGGGACTTTTCAGCTTGGAAAAGAGACGACTAAGGGGGGATATGGTAGAGGTCTATAAAATCATGATTGGTGTGAAGAAAGTAAATAAGGATATGTTATTTACTCCTTCGCATAACACAAGAGCTACGGGTCACCAAATTAAATTAATAGGCAGCAGGTTTAAAACAAAAAAGGTTTTCTTCACCCAACGCACAGTCAACTTGTGGAACTCTTTGCCAGAGAATGTTGTGAAGGCCAAGACTATAACAGGGTTCAAAAAAGAACTAGATAAGTTCAAGGAGGATAGGTCTATCAGTGGCTATTAGCCAGAATGGACAGAGATGGTGTCCCTCACCTCTGTTTGCCAGAAGCTGGGAATGGGCAACCGGGGATGGATCACTTGATGATTACCTGTTCTGTTCATTCTCTCTGGGGCAGCTGGCATTGGCCACTGTCGGAAGACAGGATACTGGGCTAGATGGACCTTTGGTCTGACCCAGTATGGTCATTCTGATGTTCTGATCTGATCTGATCTTTCATCTACGTTTCAAGTTCTCCTTCTATAATGCCTTCACCTGGTCAAATAGAAGAGGTGCTCTCCATTCGTATGCTTCTTATACTTCTGCTTTAGCTATTGAAACAAATGCCTCCTGCTTCAATCAATATCTTTCTGCTCTAAACACCCCGTCTAGTTCTGTAGGTTACTATCCAGGTGTCTTGCCTCTGTCAATATCCAAAATGATGTTGCTGAAGAGTCCTTGAAGCATTCCTACCCATCTGCCTATGTTAGGTATTTCAGCCCTTTTCAGAAGCAGCCCCGGGGCAGGACTTTTCCCTAAAAATCTGAAACGTGTCCTATCTGTCTAAATATTCATGCTGTGATTGTTGGGGTTCTCTGGACTCTGTTTCTTAAAGAATCATGACAATGTCCTCTTTTTCCAGTCCTGCTGTGCAGACTAGGTACCTTGAGTTGAATAGCTTCTCTTCTTTTGGAGAGAAGTTACAGAAAGATTGAGGCCAGATCTGCCAATAACAGATTAACCTGGTCCAAATTTTAATGCCCTTCCTGGAACATACTAAGGTCAGGCAAGCAATGCCTTGCTTTCTTGTATGTGTTTAAGAGCTTACATTCACACACATGTCCAATTGCTTCATGACTGTAATTAGTACTTGGGAGCCCTAAAAGATTACAATAGCAGGGTAATGTTACAAATTCATACTTGTCCTGATAGTTGGGGCAACCTGAAGATCCCTGTTTTGGTAACCTGTAATTGCACCCATAATAAAATATTCTGCTTTGGTGTGTAGCTGGATCTCTAGGCTCCCAGGGGTTCTGTTATGCAAATAGGTAGTTGTGAACTCTGAATGTATTTTCCTCTCCAAGTGTAATGCCATCACCTGTTGGCAGCAAAAAATAAATGGAAAGCCAGATATGAAAATGCATTGTACATATGAAAGACTGTTAATAATCCCAACAGCAGTCTGCTATTTTAGCATTTCAAAGTAATGTAAATGATTCTAGTGTGTGGTCAGCACTATACAAGACGTGAAAGTAAAGACCGTTCCTGTACCAAAAAGCTTATAGTCTGAGGCTGATGTCAAGAGTACAACCCAAAGGAGGGAATAATTTGGTGTTACATTAAAATATAAACTTAACTAATTTCTTCTGAGAATCGTGTAAGAAGGGAGTCACTGGATATAGTTACGGCTCCGATTTTGTCACAGAGGTCGTGGAAGTCCCCCGACTGCCTGCGATGGCTGGGAGTTGTGGGGTACCCTGGTCGCATCTGGTGGCGGGGCCCCCGCAGCTCCAAGTAACCGTCTGGGGGTAATTTGCAGCTCCTGGCTGCCCTGGGCAGTGTGGGAACCCAGAGCTGCTAGCGGGGCCCCCTCTGCAGTCACCGAGGGGGTTGTGGGGACTCAACAGCTCCCTAGGGATATTTTTAGTAAAAGTCAAAGACAGGTCATGGACTTCCGTGAGTTTTTCTTTATTGCCCGTGACCTGTCCATGACTTATTACAAGGAATATCTGTGACAAAATCTTAGCCTTAATTATAATTTGAATAAGGCGAGAGTTTCGGCGTGGTGAACTGAGATTACACAAAGGACAGCTTGCGGGGAAAGGCCCAGACCAGGAGTAGGAGAGGGAAACAAAATGGGTTGTTGAGGCTGACGTTGGTACAGCAGAGGAATGAGAGGAAGTGTGACACGATTAGGCCAGAGGTGTAGGCTGGGGCTTGTTGTACAGGCCTTGGAGTCAAGCACAAGAAATTGAAAGGTAAGGACTGTACACTGAACTTAGATATGATAGCTATATATCTCCATATTAGACATAAAAAAATACAGTTTGAGTCGTTTCTAGTATATATTTGCCCACCCAAGTTTAATTTGTGTACTGTACAGAACTAGGTTTATTGACATACATTCAACAGTAGAGGCACTGTCTTGATGTGTGTGATGTACCTAAGATTTTATGTTGGCCCTTACCTTGGTCTGTTTGATCCTCTCCTCTGCTAGTTTTAAGAGGAGGGGGAGGAATTGTTGCTTTACTATACTACTAAATATTATGATGAACTAATATTTTGTTCTTTGTATAGATTAGAGGAGGGATTTTTACTTTGAGGGGAATTGAGGAGAGAGAAGTTATATTTAGTAAATTCACCCATTCTAGCTTTCTTCCTCAAACCCAGTATTCTCCTGTGACAGATTAGCAATCAGCTCATCTGTATAGATGCTGTTAAAGGGTGTTCACTCTTCTTGTAGGGTTTGGACGTGGTAGAGGGCGAGGAGCTGGGAGATTTTCAGCCCAAGGCATGGGGTAAGTGATGCGCATACTTCTCGGGAAAAATCAAACACAGCAGGAGTGTTAATTGCTGTCTAATCTGTTAATACTACTTGACAAATATATTGTATATTGCTGTGGATAGAAAGCATATAGAACTGTGAAAGAGTGTCTGTGAAATACCAGTTGGATTCATTGTATGCAGAGTGACTGTTCCCATCTCTAGGCAAATTAACATTAACGTGAGTACACCAGCATCAACATGTCAGAGACACTCAAAAAAACCCCAACCCCTTAAACAAAATCCCTTCCCAGTCCTCAGAAAACTGAACGTGTCCCCATGTAACCCAGTCCCCACAAGGAAAGTCCAAGTCAATCCAGAGGCTTTGCAGGTTGAAAGTTCTGCATGGCTGGTTTGTAGCCCAGTTTGAAAGGAAACTTGTTTGGCTGTATGGCTGTAGTTTGTAGCACGTAGATTCTTACCCCCCTGCCCCCTCCCCCCCCTCCCCCCCGAAAAGACAAGTGAATCTAATCTTTTCTACCAGAAGTTGCGGGAGCTTCCCTCCATTCTTAGTGTTTTATATTTAGCCATTATTTGCTCTCAGTAACTTTGTGGATCATATCCGTGGTGTTAAGATAATAAAAATTAACCTTTTCTCTTCTTTTTTGTGTCTTGGCTCCCTCCATCCCCTAGATATGCCGGCGCCTTATTCTTTCCCTCTTCTCACCCAATTCTCATGTGACAGGTTGAAAAACAATCCCCCCCCCCCCCCCCCCGCCGCCGCCGCCTTTTTTTAATCAAAAAATTAGTTTCCAGGTCACCATTCGGCTACCTCTTAGATATTGAGCTGTTTCGGCTTCAGTGGGTATTTCAGAACACCTCCCTGCCATCATCTTATTGATATACTACCTGTTGCCCTGCATACATGTCAGGCACCCTAAAAGCATGTGACAAGGGATTCTCATCAGTAGTATACTGCTGAGAAATGACCAATTGATAAGTGTTGTGCTGTGGTTGTAAAGTAATGTTTAATGAGGATGGGAACGGTTTGCCTGGTATTGCAACTTTTCCAGGAACTAAGTTTTTTGTTCAGATTCTTTACAATGACTTTTTTAATACTGTCCTGGTTTTTGGTCGCACCCCCACCCTCCCATCACCCCCTTATTGGGAGTAAAAAGAAATTGACTTTTCTGAAAAACACAAATTATCAAAATAGCCCTATATGAAAGACAAGAACTGGTAAAAATCTAATACAAATATAGACCATAAATTGGGGCATTTCATGTTGTGTGGTTTTGGTATTCACTTTCTGCGTATTTCTGTTCTTCCCAACCCTTTTTAAACTCTAGGACATTTAATCCTGCAGACTACACGGAGACTTCTGCCACAGACGGATTTGGGCCAAAACCAGAGGTTTGGGAGACTGGTCAGAATGATGCAGATGATGGAACTGGTAAGATGGCTTCCAAAAGTGGAAGAGCTGGAATGAAAAGCGGTAGCAAGTTGCCATTAAAATAACTGTTCTGCTGTGTTTTTTTCATGAACATCTGAAAATATTTATACTTCTCACCTGACATGGGTATTTGCTCACTTAACACAGCTTGCTGCTGTACTCCAGCCTCAGGACGGCTGTATACGTACAGCTCTGTGGTTAGACAATGAGAAGGGTAGTTCTCGTTCGCAAAATTATAAACAGTTCCCTATGAGTCAAGAAAGGTTGAAGAATGGAGCTATTCAAATCCGTTTCCCTACAGGGAATTTTTGATAGCTACATTACGGTGGGATTTTCCAAAGCACATGAGTGATTTACAAGCACAAGTCTCACTGAAAGTCATTGGGACTTGTGCCCCTAAATCACTCGGACACTTCTGAAATTCCCACCGTTAACATACAGGAAGGCAAACAGATTAGTTACTGAGGTGTGGGAGAGATCTTGCCATCTTCCAGAACAGGGAATAACTAGAAATGTGAATAGGCCATAGAATGGGTACGAATGGAACAGTCTGTATCTTCTATGAAGATTAAGAAGGTTTTGTATTTATTAGTGGAGTCTTAAGGGTGGAATGTTCATTGTTGGTTAGAGGCAGAGTAGGTTTAACAGTAGGTTGAAAGGGGAGTGGTCTTGTCCTGATACTGGAAAGCAAAGAACATGATCTGACTTATCAGTGACTCAGAAGAAGAACAGGATAGCATGCTGCTTCTTTGAGTTCCAGGTCAAGAGTTGTGATGAGGGCAAAAGATCCTGTGTCATGCTGGAGAAATGCAGTGAGTTACAGTAGTCCAGTTGGGAACCAGCAAGTAGAGGAAAATGGATGACTTGACCATCTGAGGAATTGCTCACAAGATAGCAGGTTTCTATGCAGGTCATCTTCTACTGTCAAATGAAAGGAAAAGGCTGATACTGGCAGCCAACTGCTGATGTAAGGAGAAGGATTTCGGCTTCACTGAGCAATGGTGTGAGCCCCTTGTGGTGTGACTTTCTGCGTTAGTCATTCTCCATTTAGGCGGATAGGAGGCAAATCTCCTCGGTTCAAAACTGATATGGTTCCTTAGGCAGACTTTAAACTAGGTGGAAAGGAGCTTTTACTTAAATCAGAATCTGGCATGTATTTCCGAAATGAATTATTCTGAATAGATTTGTCCTGCAGCAAAACACATATACCTAGAATAAAGAGTATTAATGCACTGATGTTTGTTTTTTAAAAATAAGTTAAGGCCAGAAGAGTCAGTAGAAGTGATACCACACGTTGTGAAATCCCACCTATAATGTTAACAACATTGGTGCTTGCTATACAGAGGCAGAGAAGAGAGGTGGGTGGCAGGGCATGCTACTGTAATTATTTTAGAAGCAGTGAAATCCTACTTTAATGAAGAAAGAAAAAGATACAAGACAGAAGAATCTTCAGTGAAAAATTGATAGTCTCATCCTCACTAAGAATGGAGAGCTAGAGAAATACTTGGATGAGCTACTGATATTTGAAATCATGGGATGGTATACTAATAGAGGACTCTACCCAGATGTCTGGGTAACAAAAACAGCTAAATATGACTAAGCACCGATTCCTAAGTTACACAGAGGACAACTTTGTGACCCAGGTGGAGGAGCTATCCTTATCTACTTACCAAGAGTAGAACAATTCACTGAAAAATGGTGTGGGGGTAATAGAGTTCAGTGCTAAAGCATGAGCCACTGAAGTTCTCCTAGCTCTAAATGGGCTAGAACACATCAGTACAAGGGTATTAAATTCCAGGAAACCAAATTTTGAAGAATATTGAAGGCTGGTGCAGTGGGAGGAAAATGTGGGGAGAGAATCCTGGAGGAACTTCATAAAAATTGCCATATTGAAGAGCGAGTGACTAGAAGAATAAGAATAATGCAAAGAAACAAGAATGCATGCAGAGCGAAGATACGGGCAGCAAAAAAAGCAGAATGAGGAATCCTCTCTAGGTAGGAGTGGAAAGACAGATTGAGAAGGGCTTTTGCATGTTTAGCTGGAAGAAAAGTACTGGACTGCTAGTGTGGAAACACTGAACCACAAATTACAAAACAGTTCAGCCTTTTTAGATTTTTAAAAGATGTCCTTTTAATATCAACTCAGTTTTGAGTTCATCATACTTGTTAATTTGTCCCCCCACTAATCAGGCTCAATTTTTCAGCATTTTAAAAATTCTTCTTCTCTTGTGTAATCCATTTGCACTAAAGATGCCTTAGAATATGTTGTCCTGGGCTGTCACAGATGGCAGAAGAGTTGCAAAAGGCTGCATGGATGCTCTCGAGATGCATCATTCTGGGTCATCATGGAAAAGCCAGCAGGTTCCATGATGTTACAATGCAACACCAAAGTATTGCTGATTTGTGAAGAGGAAAGGCAAGGAGGAGTCTAAATAACTTATAGAACCTAAAACAGGTAACACAAATCTATTCCAAAGAGTAGAAGGGAGCTGTTTATTACACTTTCCGTACTATTTGCTGTCCACTGTTTTTTTTATAGTTGTAGGGTATGCTCTATAAATAGCTTAAAGAGAACTTTTTAAAATGCAAAATGAATGATCCCTACATGAAAAGCAATAAACCTGAGCACTCTGAGAGTTGGTAGGTTAATGGGGTACTTGCCAGGTGGCCAGAGGTGCCCCCGGCTTTCAGATTTTTTGCAATACACCAAATGCGTTCACTTCTTTGCGACTTCTTGCTATGGGAGAAAGCGTCTAGAAAATAATGGGATCCTGAGTAATAAACAGCGTGGGTTTGATATAGAACAAGGCATAGCAGACTCCGTCACTTTTTTTTAAATGGAATTCTAAAATCAGTGAATGAGAAGAATGCAGTAGATGTGATCAGATGTTTAGTAAAGTACAGATAGTGTGCCTCAAATTTAGTTGTAAATGTAATTCAGATTGGCTTGGATATATGCAGTCCCATGTGATTGATGAAACTGGCAGAAGGTAAACCACAATGAGCAATAAACCACAATGTATCAGTCTCGGAGGATGGCAGTAATGGTGGAGCTGGGAAGCTGCAAGTGGTTGGGTTTTAGGTCCATTGTTGAAATGGAAAGAACATTTTAATGAAAACTACAGATTTTACTGAACTGAGAAGGGCTGTAAATTACAAGGATAACAACACAGTGGGGAGCTAGGGAGGTTAGAAACAGACAGGGATACAATAAGTTTCATGCTCAGAAAGTGCAAGCTAATGCATCTAGAGTGAAAGGGGGAGAAAATCCCAAAGGTGTGATCAGTAGCCAGAAATTAGGAGGAAAACAGTAGCAATCAGACCAGCAATAAATAGTAGAATGCACTTTTACTGGGTCGTTGAGCTGCTGCAAAGCAGATAAACCAGCTTTTACAGAAGAAAAATGGAAGCACCCACAGATGGCTATCCAGGATGAAATTTGCATAACAAACATACTTGGAAAAACAAAACACAAACTTTCAAAAGAAAGAAGATACTTGTAAAAACTGCAGTGTCCCAGAAGACTTAGGGCAATAGCGGACAGAAAATTGTTCAAGTTTGCAGTGCTGAAAGGTGGCATTAAAGCCAGTGTGATGATTTTTTTTCTTTCTTTGTTTTTTGGACTGCTGAGGCATGAACATGTTGAAGAGAGGACCTGTTGTGCTAGTAGTAAGATCATACCTGGAATTCTGTATTCACTTCCAGGCCCTTCAACGTAGGAAGACATTGGCAAATAGGAATTAATTCATAGAAGAGCAACAAAGTAGTTGAGGCTGGAGGGATTGACTTTGGAAGCAAGATTGAGAATGAAATATGTTTAACTTGGCTAATCTACTAAACTACGTAGTTGGGGAGACGTGCTCATTGTCTGCAAATGTTTGAAGGGTGCCAATACAGAAGATGGGTTGATCCAGTGGGGGTATAAAATAACAATAATGGAATGAACTGTTAGGTTGAATGTCAGGGAAATGTCCTAACTGTGGGATCTGTTGGTTTGGAATAATCTCCACAGGGGACTGGTGGAAGCCCCATTGCTGGACTTGCGTAAAACAAAACTAGACAAAACACTTGGAGCACTATTACTTATTATTAAAGTACTGACACAAAATACAGAGACCATCCTTGCCCTGAAGAGCTTTACAGTCTACACAAGACAGATACAGAGTAGATATGAGGATGCATTCTTAAGAGAAACAAATAAAAGTACATTTAGAACATATCCTGTAGGGAGCAATCCTCCACTGGCCAGGAGAAAGAAGCCTGAGAAAAGGTTGATCTAACTTCCACATCTAAATTATACTTGGGTTCTTCCTTCTGTCTGAAAAGCCATGGACACGTGGGCTAGCTTGGGAGTTTGTTCAGGAATTCGAGATCTGGTGAATTTTCCCTGGAAACGCCAAAAATTACTTTGCTTAGCTGCAGGTACATGACTCAACGCTTTATATGGAGAGCTTCAGTGAGAGGCTATTTGGTATAGTGTGATTGAGAGACGTTTCAGGCAATTTTATATTGCTCCACAGAGCCAGCCCAGAGTGGACATTATCTTGCTCAGGACCTGCCAAATAATTGTGGACTCCAAGGTATAAGTCCTCTTTCTTTTTTGGGGGTATGTGTGAGTTGGGGGCAGGGCTGTTCATGCTGCCAAATCAGCAGTGTTCGATCCTACTGTCTATGGCTTAGCTGCAATGTAAAACACACAGAGGAATGAACTAAGATATATTGATATATATACACCTATATTGATCTAATTAGCACAGACTGGATTTGATGCTGTCTTCAAGGGGCTTTATTTTAAAATTCATTAATTGCAAATGGTTCAGAGCTGAATACAAGAATGCGACTAAAATGGAGGTGTCTTATGAAGCTACATTTGATCAGAGGTGATGGAAACTGAAATTTTACTGGTGGTGGGTTCTTCGCTTGTGGTTGTGTAGTTAATTTGGTGGCTCTGTTCCTGGGATAGCCTCAAGCGTGTGTGCCCCAGCACCCCTGCTTTCTAATCGTTTGACTGTTGTGTGCCCACTCTCTCCCTTGCTGTTTCCTGTGGAAGAGACCAGTTTTAAAAACATTAAGCACATTTCCTACTACTGTGCTATTTCCACAAACATTAGTCAACCTGCTGCACTGCACAGCCTGCTCTCTACAACTTGTGACATACCTGGCTTGGCACCATGCTCCAGCTGGAGTGGCAGGCCAACCGCCATGCTGCCACAGTAGGAACGAGATATTTTTTCCTGTAAAATGGCTCTCTTCTACCTCAGGGGAAAGTGGAATGGGGTTATTCTGGCCTGAGGAGACAGCCAGCAGGCAGGAAGGGAATGCCCTAGAAGGGACACCACTGTGTGCCTTCAGCTCAGGCGGGCACGGACCAGTGATACGCAGACTGAGGCTCGTGAGCCGCAAGTGGCTCTTCAGTGTGTCTCCTGTGGCTCTTTGCAGCATATGATGATATTAAAACACTGTGTGATATAATTATTAGCCAATCTAAAAAGAAAAGGAGTACTTGTGGCACCTTAGAGACTAACCAATTTATTTGAGCATGAGCTTTCGTGAGCTACAGGTCCGATGAAGTGAGCTGTAGCTCACGAAAGCTCATGCTCAAATAAATTGGTTAGTCTCTAAGGTGCCACAAGTACTCCTTTTCTTTTTGCGAATACAGACTAACACGGCTGTTACTCTGAAACTAGCCAATCTAAGTTATTAACCAATCAGGCTGCTTTTACTATGTTGCTTACCAATTGTAGTTGATAAAATAATACTTGGTCAGTCATTTTGTTGTGAGAAATGTATATAAAAATAGTAAACGAGCCTCAGTCTGCGTATCACTGTAATGTTGATCGCTGATAGCTGATTTGGCTCCTGAACCACTGAGGTCTGAGTATCACTGGTCCAGATGCAGACTTTGGAAGTCTCAGCAGGTCTTGCTCACCTGTGCAGCCAGTATGGATCCCATGTTTATGGTGGTGCAGAACTCAGATTTTACTCTGCTTTAGGATTCCATCATTGTTAAGCTTAATCATCAGGGAAAGGTGAGTGGGTGAATTTCTCACCATGTTTGGTGCTATTGAGTATGATGGCTGATTTAAGGACACTGTAGTCTTTCCTTTAACATAAACCATCTCTGGTACCAGAAGGGCTAGAAATATCCTTAAATTCTAGAGAACATGTTAAAAATATTTCCCGAAAGACCCTAACTCTGTAGAGCATCTCATGGTCCTGACCATAATTTCCTGCATGTACTGCATTCATAACTGTAATTAGAGATGGATGGTAAGATGGCTTTTAATGTGCGAACTGAAATATGATATTGGGCCTTACCATTTGTGCCTAATTTCTCTTCTCTCCCAAACTGCAACAGGAGCATGGAAGAATTCAATAGAAGAATGGACGGCAGAAGACTGGAATGAAGATGTAAGTATATGTGGTTGGGTAGGCAGCAATTATTCATTCTGTGCTGTCTGTGCATCTCCTTCAGAAGTCAAATATCAATGTCCTGTATAATACTTTGCAACATATGGAGGGTTTGTAAGAAAAATTTTTTTTAGTTCATTCCTATTTAGTGAAGATCATAAAATCAATTATTTGATGAATTCCATTGTACTTTTTATTCAAATAATATAAAAATATTATTCCCCATTTTATCAGGCTGAGTGAACTATTTGTGAATATAAGAATTTTACAGATTTTTTTTGTAGTTAAAATGTTGTTTTCATTCTTAACCCAACTCTACTATTTAGCACTTATGAGAGTTAATCACACACATTTCCCCTTGCATTGTCAAGAGCTTACACCGTTAGCATCGTGAGTCTTCTTTATATAATGATCTTTATGAACTGGTAGATTAAGTATTAAAACTTAGTGACTGCCCAAAATTTGATCCGTTTTTTTCTGTTTATAAGATCTATATAATACTTTTGACTTTTTTCAAAACGTGAGTCAGTCAGTCTGTGTTAACGGAATATTTTTAAAAAAATTGAACTAACAAGACACATCAATCACATTTTTTTTTTTTTTTTTACATCCTAGCCCCCAGCCTGTGTCCATGTATTTTTCTCAGGCCAACGGCCTTGCTTCATATCTGTAAAGCACCTAGCACATTTTTGGTATTCTAATAATATTAATACCTACCAGTCCAGTCTGATCAACCCAACAATAACAAACCACTGTATATGCAGGTTAGAGGAGTTTGGGATGGAGTGGGGAAATTTGGTAAGGAAATGGAGAACTTTAAAAATCAAGGTCCTTCTGCTGTATGTGGACATCAGATATTCTAAGCGCATTTTCCGAAGAGGAGGAGTTTGCTTCAGAATGTTTGGTCGAGACTGGTGGTGGTTTTGGTTCTTACTAGAGAGAGGATTGTGTCACTTCAAAGACAAATCTGAAAATTCTTTCTTAGCTTCCAAGGAGGTTGTAATCTGGGAAGTATTACAAGTGCTATAAAAGTGTCAAGTATTATTATCCAGTATGCATTCTTTAAAGATGTCAGTTTTAGATTAATTAGAAATGTCTTCTATTTTCTTTTAATGTCTGAGGAGTGGTTCTGTTGTTGGTATAGTATAGTCAAATCACTGGAGCAAGGCCTTACTTTTCAAAGAACTCTACGCAGGCTAACCCCTGCATACATTTATTTGGAGCATCATTGAAGTCGTGTACTTCCATGTGGGCACAGGGGTTGGCCTACATGGAGCTCATTGCAGGACTGGAGGCTAACTTTGTTTCACTTCACACCAGGGATCCCTCTATTCTGGCCTGCCAACCACACTCATGCAACAAACTAATGACTTCAGTGGCTGGTCTATCACGAACTGTTAGTGGAATCCAGTCTCTCAGTGGACAAAAGCATTGATTCCTTTACATGGAAAAAGTATAGGCTATTAAAAGGCTCTTTAATCTGGTGGGGAAAAGCATAGCCAGAACCAGTGGCTGGAAGACACAGCTTGACTGTTTTAAATGAGAAATATACTTTAGGCAGGGGCAGATTATGCTTTAGTCAAATGCAAGCTATTGGGCTCAGAACAGTGGTAATTGGGTGAGATTTAATGGCGTGTGATATACAGGAGGGCAAACTAAATGATCTAATGGTTTCTTCTGGTCTTAAACTCTATGAATCTAGGATAGTGATACTCTCCATTCTGTTTAAACAGAAATAGACCCTTGGAATTACAATATAAGAAGATATTACTTCACCCACCTAGTGTGTCTAACATATGAAATTGTATTTTGTTAAAGGGACAGTGTCAATGCGAAGGCAAGTCAATTTAAAAGCAAATATATTTTCAGGTACTACAGTTGGTCGTCAGTCTTCCTGCCAGTTTTTACAAACAATCTCCTATTTTAAATTTTTTTTCCTCTTGATAATCATAAAACATATAAAAATTGTTGTCAAATGCGCAAAATAAATTGAAAAATAAAGAAGTGCTATTTTTCTTATTTCTGTTAATCATAATTTTTACTTGCAACAGCAGTAGATCTGTGTTTAAAATTGGACAGAAGTGTGATTAAATTGGCAGTGTCCCTTAAACAGGATTTAAGATGGCATGAAAACCATTTTCATTTAGTTTTAATTTCTTAGGCCTCAGTAACAGGGTGCCTCCCAGCCCGGGTAGATTGACTCATTCGAACTTGGCTTGATTTAGCATGTTAGAAATAATATTGTGGCCTTGTAGCACTGGCAGAGGCCAGGGCTAGCCACCTGAGCTCCGACCCAGGGGGTTGGGTGGGCTTGCGAACCTAAGCCATAAGGTCCACACTGCTATTTGTAGTGTGCTAGCTTGAGCCAAACTAGCTGTCAACCCAGGCTGGGAGGTACACTCTCAGCTGCAATGTAGACATACCCATTAGGGTCCTAATTTTCCTGGTTTGTTACTCTTACTTTGTATTTCGCTTCAGTTCTTAAATATGCATCTTGAGTATTTGCTCCCAAGCCATATTAGCTGGGTGTGGAAGATGGCTGGCAGCTGGTAAACGTTGCATACTTGCTGACAAGGCATAGGTTTTATAATTGAAACTTTGCTGATGTTTGTATTTGAAGGGACGTCACTGTAAGAAGGGGAGGCGCCCCTGTGAAGTTGACTTTTAAAAACAATTGATGACCATTGTTTGTCATCCACCTATTTCTAGGAATGTGCTAGTACATTAGTGAAGGGTTTGTTTGTTGTGTAGCACAATTGGTTATCCCAGACAGTTATTCAGAAGCAGATAAAATTGCTTCTAAGAAACTCTGGTGGCATCTGTTTCAGCTGCTGCACATGTCATGGGCTCTGACAAATGCCATTATCCCAGCAGACTCTCAAATCTGCTGCTTGTTTACTGTTTGCCACAGTCCATAGCATAAACTTAAATACAGCAGAGCTACTAACCTGCATCTTGGGAGTTGTTTTGCATGCCATTTTCCTTGGATAGAGAACATTTTTCCCCCTCCATGCCCAAGAGGCACTTTGAAATTGTCTCAAGTCTGTCAAGCTCTCTAGCTAACCTGCTTTCAGGGTTTGTCAGGGTTTTTAGTCACTGTTGATCTTACTCCAGGTTAAGTGGGCATGGAAAACTGTTAATGTTATATTAAGGATTTAATATTTAACTAAGGGATTGCAGATCACAGCCTACCACTCCGCTCTTAACTGACTTCTTAGTGGCATAATAATGCAGGAATCTCACAACGCTGCAGAAAGCATAGTACAGTCTGTACTACAATAACACGTAATGGGGGAAGGGCACTATAGATGGAGCAGGAGCCTTTACTATGAATTTATTTGGGCTGAAATTAAACTCTTAACCTTCTTTATTGTTCATTATTAAGGCTATGATTTAGTCATGGAGGTTACGGCAGTCACAGATTCCGTGACTTTACTGGACCTCCATGACTTCTACGCTTCAGGAGGTGGAGGTGGGACTGTGCGCCCCTGCCCTGCAACTGGGGATGGCTGGAACCAGGATGCTGCAGCCCCAGCCCCGCAGCTTCCACTGGGGGCTGCAGCCGGTGCTGTGCGCCTAGCCCCGCAGCTTCCACTGCATCTACACCAAAGGGGGTTTCATCAGTTTAGCTAAATTGGTTTCTTAAGGCTTGTTTAAACGCAGAAGTTGGCTTTCTTTAACTATACTGGTGTAGTAAAAGGAGCACATTTCCCCTAGAGTGGACACAGTTATACCATTAGAAAGATGCTTATATTGTACTGTTATATCTTATTCCCTGGCCATTATGAGAATAAACTAATTTATGCCAGTGTAAGGCATCTTTATACCACTATAACTGCATTCGCATTAGGGTCTGTAATGAAATAACTATTTGGGTAAAAAAAATCACACCCCTTAGAGATATAGTTATACTGATACAGAATCTGTGTGTAGACCAGGCCTTACACCAGTGTGTTTAAATCAGTGCAGAACGGTGTACAAGTCCTTATTAAAATTGGGCTGTGTTTTCTTTGTCCTTTAAAAGTGATCTGCAGTGCAACTTGTTACTATGATTCGATATTCCTGATCTCTCTAAGTTATATAACCAGGGTTGGGTTATTTATTTTGAATATTGCTGCCTGTAAACTTTCAATGCACGTATAACTAAAATACACTTTCTCCCTCCTTCTTTCTTCCCCCTTTCTCAGCTTTCTGAAACAAAGGTCTTCACTGCATCTTCTGTTCCAGCTGAGAATCACATCACTCCTGGGCAAAGGTAGGGGAGGATTTACATCTTTGTTCTAGGTTTCAGAGTAACAGCCATGTTAGTCTGTATTCGCAAAAAGAAAAGGAGGACTTGTGGCACCTTAGAGACTAACCAATTTATTTGAGCATGAGCTTTCGTGAGCTACAGCTCACTTCATCGGATGCATTGACTGTTCTCACAGCCTAAACTCTTTCACGTGCTCCCTGTAAAGTTGTTGAAGCTTCAGCATTTGGCACACTTTAAAGTTCTGTTGGAGAAAATACTCGAAAACAATCCTGTGTTTGCCCTCAGGAGGTGACATGGATGTGAATGGACAAGCTCATGTCTAATCAGAATTTTTGGGGTGAATTTGATTTAGTATTAACACTTGATTTTATCTAGTATTAGGCTCTGACTACACTGTGGTGTACAAGAGGCTGTATTAAGTATATGAAAGGCGTGTGTTCCAAATCCTAATGATGTGTAATGTGGAGCAAATTCAGGCACATGCCTAGTGTTCTATTCCTGCTTCTGCCACAGAATTCCTGTGTGATAATGGGCTAGTCACTTCACTGCTATGTGTGAGAGTTTCTCCATCTACAAAATGGGAATAATACCTCATGGAGGGGTGCAAGTTTGATGCAGTAATAGTTGTAAAACACCTTAAGATTCTCAGGTTGCAGGTGCTACAGACATGTGAAGTACATATTGAGTGGCAAGATTAAGGGGGAGGGACAGCTCAGTGGTTTGAGCATTGGCCTGCTAAACCCAGGGTTGTGAGTTCAATCCTTGAGGGGGCCATTTAGGGATCTGGGGCAAAAATTGGGGATTGGTCCTGCTTTGAGCAGGGGGTTGGACTAGATGACCTCCTGAGGTCCCTTCCAACCCTGATATTCTATGGTTCTATGAAGTAAGCAAATAACACCTCTTTTCACTTACTCCCCCGTGGCTCAATCATGTTGATCTCCATGAGCTTAGCAGGTAAGCCAATGGGTGTTTAGCTACCATGGTGGTAAGTACTTTGGACATACCCAAGATAAATGATATTGAAATTGCACCGCATTTCACTTTGAAATGCTAAAGTACAGAACAAAATGCAAGGTTTTCTTCAATTATGAAGCAGTAAATGTGGCAGTGGTAACCCTGTGCTCGAGCAGATGGCAGGACCTTGCCGTCTGAGTAGAAAGCTGGATTCTTGCTCTTCTGAGTGGTGCTGTGTGCTGCAGAGATGAGACCCAGAAAGGTTAAATAATGTGGCTAGCATAGTGTCCTTCATATTGATCTTAGTTATTTGATCTTCTTTCAGTCCTCAAATATCCCAATTTTAGTATTTGACAGCTTCTTACTCTTTTTTTCTTGTAGCATTGACCTAGTAACATTACTTCAGAAGCCTGTGACTTCTAGCCAAGAAACAGAAGGCAACTCCTTCGAGTCTCCCCAACAGCAGAGCTTTGGCCAAGCCCTAGTCTTCACGAATTCCCAACACAACACCCAGATGACATCAGGAACTGGCAATTCCAGTTCTCTAAACTCCTATTCTCCTCAGAGTCTGGTAAAATTCATCTTGGCTTTTTAAAGACTCAGAATCTTACGGAATAAACACTTTATACTTTTTCAGTTAGTTTCTTTTTTTTTCATGACTTTTCTTTGCAGCACTTAAGTTGCAGGTGGTATTGAAATATGAGGGGACACGGGACTAAAAATGTCCTCACCAAAAAAAAAAAAGTATCAGATGAACCTTTTCGTGCTCATGAGTTTACTTGTCCATTTAAGTGAACTGCTTGTGTTGGTTCTTGAGAAAAGTGCAGATAAGTTCTCTGCATATTGATTAAAATGAAACACTCCATGTATAAAGCATCGAATTCTAGGCCAGAGAACTGTGATGCGGTATTTTCCAAGCACATATCTGACTGGTCTGTGTGGAAATCAACTATTTCTGAGTTTTCTGGACTAATGGAAAGTTGGCAACCCTTTGTTAGTTTTAATAGAGTTGGAGATTAGATGTAGGAAAATGTTTTGAAACAAATTAAATACTGTTGCCAGTAACTTTACCTTTACTTTGTTCTAAGGCACTATATAAACAAAACTACATGGGTCAGATCCTTAGCTTGGGTAAATCAACATATGTCCATTAACAGTGGTGGAGCTAAACCAGAATACAATAGCTGGGGATCTGGTCCCATATTGTTAGTGCTCAGTTGGATTTTCTTGCTAAGTTTTAACTTTTCACTTTTAATTAGAAATCTGGGGATAAAGTATGAACTGCATTGCTGCCAATGTGAGCAATTAACTCCGACCTCACAGGTTTGGTCATGTTAACATTTAGTGAAATATTTTTTTCTTCATTTTCTTGCTAGTCTTCAGTTCTCTGTTCTGGGTTTGGAGAACTTGGATCCTCTAAATTAGCAAACTCCACTGGATCTCCGCTCTTGGACCAGCTGAAGTCTCCAGGTTTGGGTCAGTTCACCTCTCCGAGCTCTCAGCAAAACAGCAGTAGTTCCGCCGCCGCCACCACCTCATCCTGGGATCTAAAACCCCCGATTAGCCAATCCTCGGTCCTCAGTCAGTTTGGTAAGTATTTAGATAGGTTTTGCCTTTTTTTTTTTATTATTTAAAGCCATTGACTATGGAACTTTGACCCTTCAGTGCCAGACCTTATGTAAGAGATTTTTAAAATGATATTGAGAAATGGCTTCTCTTTTGAAATTAGCTTCCTAAAGGAGACTAGTAAACTTAGTCACATTATATTGAGGTTCCATTTATAAAAGGTTAATAAATGATAGCTGTTATAAGCATAATAGACGTGAGTAGTATTTTTATACATGGCTTCAGTAGAAAGTGTTACAGATGGTTGTAAGCCGCCTGTTCGGGTCATCTCTGACAATTGGTTAGCCATTTATTTTAAAAAATCTATTAATAACCCTTTATAAACTATTTGTAAATGGAACCTTAATATAAAGTATGACTGTAAATGTCTCTAGGAATTCTGGGGAAAGACCTTTTTATGTTACCTTGACTGTACTTCTACTAATGACAAAGTATAAATTTTCAATCCTAGACTAAGTTAATACCACCTTATGGTGAGTTCTTTGGCTCTTTAATAGTGTGGATCACTTCTTAATCCTGGGGCCGCCTGCATCCTTCGTACTTCACTTTCTGTCCACGATGGAGTAGATCACCGTCCCTCCCCTTCACAATTACGTAGACCCTTCTCTGTGGAGGGTTAGACAAGACCATGATAACAATTGCTTGAGCAGTCTCTACATGTTGCTTCCAGTGATGCTCTTACTGTGGAGAATTACAGGTCCTGGTTTTGCCAGTATAGAAGCAGCCATTGTGGTAGCAACCACAATTCACATAAAGTAATATTAAGAAAATATTTGTGTTTTCAGCTGTATTTTAATGCAGTTTAGCCGCTGGAAATAAGGAGAAGCTGGCAACATGTGACCTGCAATGTTCTGTGGACCACTTGTGTTTGTGAACTAGAGTTTTGAATCATTGCTTATAAGCCTGTCCTTCAACAACTAAAAACTATGGAGGAGATTTATAAAGGGCAGTTAAGCATCCAACTCCAATTGAAAGTCAGTGGAAGCTGGGTATCTAACTCCTATTTGAGCCTTTGAAAATATTCCTCCTCTTAGAATCAGGAGATCAGAAAACTTAATTATATGGTCTCTAACATGTCAGTATTTCTTGACAAACTGTGTCCAAAAGTCGCGAGTTTTAGCTTTTATCGTGAATTGCACTTTCCACATTTAACAGAGTCCCACTTTCAGGCAGGTCCTCACACTGTGGAGCGGTGCAAGGTCTGACTAAAATAATACATAGCATTTCTACTAGAGACTTGAGTATAATGCAGTTGTGTGGCCATATGAACAGCTGCCTAATTCCCCATTTTTAAAAAATTGCCATATAGTCCTGTCTCAGAATCTCCGTTTTCATTTCAAAAAAGAAAACTAAGTTGCCAGCTCTGTGGTTGCAAAAATAATATTCATATTCAGAATCTGAAGTTTATATAAAATAATGCGTTGGCAGCTGACTGAGTGTGCACACGGTCTGCAGCAATAGCTCTGAGAGGGGTGAATAAAAGCACTAATTCTTTAACTACAACTACAGAGATGGAACATAAAAGTCCTGGGAGCAGAGTTTAATGCATCAATTATGATTTTTTTCCCAAATGCTGGCTAGACTTTAAATCCCAGCCTGAACCATCTCCAGTTCTCAGCCAGCTGACCCAGCGACAACAACAGCAGACACAGACAGCCCCTGTTCCTCCTCCTGGATTGGAGTCCTTCTCCTCCCAAGTAAAACTCCGAGAGCCATCACCAGTAGACAGTTCTATGGCTGCAAGCAAAATGCTGCAGCTCCCCAGCATGTCTATGGATAACCAGGCAGCGTCTGCCCATCAAACGCAGCAGAAACAGATCAAACCACTGAAACGGAGGATACCCCCAGCTTCTAAGGTGGGTAACACAGCAGGGGCAAATATATGGCACATATAGGCTTTAAGATACTTGGGGGGGTGGGGAAACATTATAGGGCAGTCTTGATGCACTTTTGGTTTTAAATTTTAAGATGGGTGGCTTTATAGTCCAGAAGACAGTGATGTGGTATTTTCCAAGCACATATCTGATTGTTTTGTGAGGAAATTTAACCATTTCTGAGTGTTCTTGGACTAACTAGTGACTGGGAGGTGAATGCGTAAAACAAAATACTCTTTAGTAGGCACAGAGGACAGTATGACTTAATCTCTTAGGCCACAAAAAGTATGTGGGACCGACAAATTAAGTTTTAAGGTGGAGAGATTCTAGTTGGGAGAAATTACGCAGCTCCGTCTGAGAGGCAGCTGCATTGGCCAACAGATACAGGTTAGAAGCCAAGGCTGTGAGATTGTAACCAAGTTACATACTTGGTGTTCTGTATGTTCGTAGTTCCCTAGAGTTCAAGGTGGTTCATGAGTGATTTCTTTCATATAAACTATATAGATACAGGATTTTGTTTTTACTTTCAGATCCCGGCCTCTGCAGTGGAAATGCCTGGATCAGCCGATGTGACAGGGTTAAACGTTCAGTTTGGAGCTCTGGAGTTTGGGTCAGAGCCTTCTCTCCCAGAGTTTGGGTCAGCCCCAAGCAATGAGAATATCAGCCAGGTGCCCAGCAACAGCTTGTACTCAAAACCTGTAAAGTACGTAAGAGTTCCATTTCTGCATCCTTATGTGTTCTCTTGTACCAAAAAAGTGGCATGTGAAGATCAAGGTCTCTTCTGCCAAGGGGCTGTTTGGTGTAGCTGTCTCGGAAGCTAAATATAATTACTTGTAAGCCTCAGTCTTTATTTTCTGAGGATGGCACCCTTAAAAGCAGGAAGGTCCCTTTTCTGGTGACTAGAGAAACATTCTGAAAAATGGGTTAGAATGGAGGGGGGAATGAATTGAACTTAAATGCTCTCTTTATGAGCTACCCTTCACATTTTTAATTATGCTGATTCCCAAAGCTGTTTAAGTGAGGCTTTGGCTCCCTCCCAGCCCATCTACTCTTATAATTGACTCAGCAGAGATAAATGCATCACAACGTCCATCTCTGTCAGCAGACTGACACCATAAACTGAGGTCTGACTTCAATGGAAGCTCAACCTAAAGGCAGGCAGGCTCTGAGGTGGGCGGAAAGCCCTTATTAAAATGCTAATGTCTCCAGTAATAACAAAAGAAATGCAAACATAGCAGCCAAATACATGCTTACTCTTCAAATGTTTTTTCAGAGTTTTGTTTGTGTAAAATGGTCCTTAAAAAGTTGATGGAGAATTTGCAAGAATTAAGATTTGCAAAAATAAATTCCTCCATTCATCTTAAATTTTGTAAATGTTTTTAAAAATCCAGTACGAACCTTAAAAAAACCCTAAGCCTAACCCTTCCGGTTTTGGCAGAGCAAACATTGCAGCAATGTGCTGATGTATGGGAGCCTGAAAGAGACTGTATAAACAGAAATGGAGGGATACCCAGGTTCAGTATCCAAGATGTGGAAAATATGCCTTGCTGTGTTAACTGTCTTAAAGTAATGTTTGAATCACAGGCAACAGAATTTAGTTTTTAAAAAGTGCTTTTTAACCTGTAAAGTCCTACAAGACTGATGTTGACTCAGGCAATACTGGAAAGGCAACAAATGTAAAGAGTTTAGAAAGATCTAGGGGCAGGGTACAAATCTTAGTCTGTGTATGTAAATTGTCATGGATACTTACAGCAGTGTTGTGTAATAAGAGCAGCTCTTTCTTAGTGCCTTTTGTCAGTAGATCTCAAAGTATTAGAATATTGACTAGAGGCCTCAGTCTGATCAGACCCCATTGTGCTGGGCTCTGATACAGACACATGGTAAGAAGTAGTGTCTTCCCTCTAAACCTTACAATCTAAAAGCATAAGAAATCACTTATGAAGTAGAATGCTAATTCTAGCCAGGAAAAAGCAGGAAAACAATTATCATAGCTAGCCTTTTTGAGAGGGGGAAGAATGGAACATGGGATGAGAAAATACAGTTGTCCTATGAGGGGGAAATGGCCCCTGCTGCTCAGTGCAGATGCTGGCTCTGAACAGAGGGCTGCTGTAACTTTGCCTAGGCCCACATTAATTTGTGTTATGCTAGGAAACTGGAAAGTGAGCAACTTCTAGCTGAGCAAATGGGTATCCAGTTCCAGGTTGCTATGCAGGAGCTGGTAATGTCATGAAGGTATCTGAAATGACATTTAACAAGATGATAAATAACTTTTACTTTTTTCAGTGATCCTTTGAATACCTCTTTGCCAATATCCAATACAGTACAGGAGTCCACCTACACAACCTCTGCCATCACTTCTTCCAGTCTGACCTGCTCGTCCCAGAGCACTAGCCCCGTAACAACAACTTCCTCCTATGACCAGACTTCTGTGCATAGCAGGATAGCATACCAAAGCTCCATGGCTCCATCGGACTCAACCCCTGTTGCAGTCACGGTGAGTAGATTTCAGAAACCTTCGCTATTGAAAAGACATTAATTGGGTTAATTACTGATGGGTTTGGGTGTTGGTGACATACTAAGGCTATAATTCAACTGTTTTGTTGAGCTCAACAATAGTCCTGATGCTCTGAGACTTCAGTGGCTAACACAGAGATGATGTTTTGTTCTGTTAACATCTTTTGGACTGGTTAAAAAGACTCTCTTTTGACCGACCCTCCCCCCCCCCACCCCCAACTCTGTTGTTCTTTGCTGTTGCTTTTCTTGCTCTTCGGTCCTCAGGTATGCAGATCTTTGTGATGTTTCTCTGGATTTTGATTTCTTGATTTGCGCTACAGTCCGTTTCTAGCTAACATTCTCATTTTGATTGACTCCATCTTCCTGAAGCTTAGCATCTTGTTTTTTAAAAAACAAATTGACATTACATGTTCACCATGATATCTTGCCAGCGTAACTTTGGTGCAGAGACTGTTTATTACATTTGTACAGCATATAGCACAGTGGGGCCTGACTGGGTTATGGCCTTCAAGCACTACCACGTTGTAAATGTTAAATAATAAAAATACAAGACCAAGGAGAATATGCACATTACATTTTAAAGATCACAAGGTCAGCAGGTCCACATAACTTGCATCCAAGACTTTAAAAAGAGATGACTGAGGAACTCACTGGGCTGTTATGATTTTCAGTAAGTCTTTGGGAAGACACTGGGGAAGTTCCAGAAGACTGGAAGAAAGCTAATGTTGTGCCATTATTTAAAAAGGGTAAATGGGATGAGCTTGTCAGTCTGATGTTGATCCTGAGCAAGATACTGGAGTAGCTGATATAGGGCTCAACTAATAAAGAACTAAAGGAGGGTTAATGCCAATCAACATAGGTTTATTAAAAAATTGATCCTCCCAAACTAACTTGACATCTTTTTGTGATGAGATTACACATTTGGTTGATAAAGATAAGTGTTTGATGCAATATACGTAGACGTCTGTGAGGTGTTTGATTTGGCACTGGCTGACATTTTGATTAAAAATCTAGAACTATATAAAATTAACAAGGCACACATTAAATGTATTTAAAGCTGGCTGACTGATAGGTCTCCAATTGTAATTGTAAATGAGGAATCGTCATCGAGTGGGTATGTTTCTAGTGAGATCCTGCAGAGATCTGTTCTTGGTTCTATACTATTAAGCATTTTTATTAATTACCTGGAGGAAAACATAAAATAATCACTGATAAAGTTTGCAGATGACACACAAACTGGGGGAGGTGGTAAATAATAGGTCACCGATTCAGAGTGATCTGGATCACTTGATAAGATGTACATAAGCAAACAGTGTGTGTTTTAATGCAGCTAAATATCAATATTTAGGAACAAAGAATGTAGACCATACTTACAGGATGGGGAACTCTGTCTTGGGAAGCAGTGATTCTGCAAAAGATCTGGGGATCGTGTTGTCTAATCAGCTGAACGTGAGCTCCCAATGTGACACTGGCCAAAAGAGCGAATGTGATCCTTGGATACATAAAAAGGGGAATCTCATGTAGAAGTAAAGAGGTTATTTTACCTGTTTTTGGTGCTGTTGTGACTGCTGTTAGAATATTGTGTCCTGTTCTCATGTCCACAGTTCAAGAAGGGTATTGATAATTTGGAGAGGGTTCAGAGAAGAGCTACAAGAATGATTTAAGGATTAGAAAAGATGCCCTATAATGATCTATTCAAGGAGCTCAGTTGATTTAGCTTAACAAAGAAGGTTAAGGGATGACATGATTATGGTTTTATAAGTACCTAAATGGGGAGTACACATTTGATAAAGGACTTTTCAAGCTAGCAGGGAAACGTATAACAGGATCCAGTGGCTCAAAGTCAAAGTTAGACAAATTCAGACTGGAAATAAGGCATACATTTTTAACAATAAGGGTCGTTAACCATTGGAACCACTTACCATGGTTGCCATGGATTCTCTGTCACCAGCAATTTTTAAATCACGTTTGGATGTTTTTCTAAAAGATCTTCTCTAGGGATTATTTTGGGGCAGTTCTTTGGCCTGTGTTATATAGGAGATCAGATTAGATAATCACGATGGTCCCTTCTGGCCTTGGAATATACAAATCTGTGAATTTCAGAAGAGGGCAACTAAAATGATTAGGGGTTTGGAACGGGTCCCATATGAGGAGAGATTAAAGAGGTTAGGACTTTTCAGGTTGGAAAACAGGAGACTAAGGAGGGATATAATAGAGGTATATAAAATCATGAGAGGTGTGAAGAAAGTTAATAAGGAAAAGTTATTTACGTGTTCCCATACTATAAGAACTAAGGGCCACCAAATGAAATTAATGGGTAGCAGGTTTAAAACAAATAAAAGGAAGTTCTTCACTTAGCGCACAATCAACCTGTGGAACTCCTTGCCTGAGGAGGTTGTGAAGGCTAGGACTATAACAGGGTTTAAAAGAGAATTGGATAAATTCATGAAGGTTAAGTCCATTAATGGCTATTAGCCAGGATGGATAAGGAATGGTGTCCCTAGCCTCTATTTGTCAGAGGGTGGAGATGGATGGCAGGAGAGAGATCACTAGTTCGTTACTTGGTAGGTTCACTGCCTCTGGGGCACCTAGCATTGGCCACTGTGGCTAGACAGGATACTGGGCTGGATGGACTTTTGGTCTGACCCAGTATGGCCATTCTTATGTTCTTAAATGACGATAACATCCTCTTTGTATTTCTCCATATGATCTCCTTGTAACAATTTCAAACATAATTACGTTCTGGTCTCTGTAACTTAATGGCTCAATCACACTTAACTTCTGAAACAAGTTCTATGTGGTGGTGCAGAGGATTATAAATCTAGAGCATTCACTTTTATGGACCAGAATGATCCAAGAAGCAATTGTTTCCTCTCAAACCTTATCTCCCAATGGAGGGTTCCAAACTCTCTATGTAATTTGCCTGGGTGCAGTTGTGTGTTCTATTAGATCAGGGAGACAACAGTTTCTCACGTGTCCCTGACTTTACCATCACTCATTCATATAGCCTTCTTGTTTCCTTTTTATTCCTGTGTCCCTGGGATGTGTCTCACAAACATTGTACCTACACTTTCCTATATAGTTTAGCCCATGGAATGGCAATTGATTATTTCACGTCCCTCTTGACTTTCAAGTTGGAATGAATATAAAGTTTTGCAATGAGCAGCCTGTTAAATGTCTGAATCATGTAGGGTTTTTAATACCACCTCTGTCAGGTGGCTTACTCATTCGTTTTCCCTTTGTTTACAGAATGGGCACAGTGGTGTTCGAACACAGCCAACTCTTGACAGTAAGTTTATAAAGCTCCATTATATACACAGCTGTTTTTCTGACTGTCCCCTACCCCTCAACATGCACACCATTGTAGTCATAGATTGTTTAAGGCTTTGTACAACTTTCGCTGTTTAATTTTTGGCTAAACAGTTTGAGTTTTAAACTTGGTATCAAAAAATAAACACACAGTTTGCACAAGCCCCATTGCTGCTCAGTCCTTTCAGAGCACATGCTGCTGCAACCAGAGCTGTCCCCTCTCACTCCCTCAGCAAATCATCCATCCTTAAAGGGACAGGGCACAGGTAAATATAACCCTGATGTTCCCTTGAGTGCTGCACTCCCCCCATGTAAATATAATGTCCCAACATTTCTGTTAACTATGTATAACCTACAGTCCATTAATTTGATTTATTAGAAGTTTGCAAGTTGCACAAACTCGTAACTGGTTTCAGAGTGGTAGCCGTGTTAGTCTGTATCAGCAAAAACAATGAGGAGTCCTTGTGGCACTTTAGAGACTAACATGTATTTGGGCATAAGCTTTCGTGGGCTAAAACCCACTTCATCAGATGCAATCTGATGAAGTGATGCTAGTTTTAGCCCACGAAAGCTTATGCCCAAACTTGTAACTGTCATTTTCAACTGAGTCTTTGGGTCGGGCGCTCTCTCTCTCAAGTTCTGGTACGGATGGTGGAAATGTATGCATCTCTCTTCAGTTTATTTCATATTAAGCAGAAAAAGTCTGGCAATTTTAATTCCAAAATCCAACTGAACAGTCAGTTCTGAACTCCATAGATCCCTGAAGATATTCATATATCAAGAAATAAAAGTTCCCGTATGAGCAGTGATAGAATCATGTTAACTCCAAGTCACTGGGTGGCATATGGCAGACTATTTAGAAAACATACTAAATTAACATCATAACAAACTATCCAGAATTATAAAACACTTCATTTAATTTTAGAGCAATAGACATACCATAAGTCAGTATCACTTTACCAGTATTACATGTGTCTTGGATAGACTGCAGGATAAGGTACAGGAATAGGCATTTGGTATGGCATCTGACAAACATGAGGATAGTGAGATGGTGCATTCACGAGTTCAGTAGTTTGATTTAGGCCCTGATAAGTTGGTGTCCCTAAAAATTCATATTTTGGTGTCTGTGTGGCTCTTCTTTTTCTAGTTGGATGACCTGGAGTGTCAATGGATTGTTCTGGTGATCTGCCCTCTTGTGCACTGCTGGTTTCAGGTTCCATGGTCTCATTTTGGCATTCATGTTTTTCAGTGGCTGGTGTGAATGGCACATCAGTCTAATGCAGTTTCCAAATTCACAGTGTCAACCACATCCTCATTTCCCAGATGTGGATGAAATGTTTCTGCCTTGGAATTCACAGAATCTGTGCCGTGGACAATATCTGGTACCATCACATAATGTAGTTCATCTTCACTGTCATTATCATAATCACTGGAGTCCAAATGCTTGTTCTCATTTTGATCTCTTGTTGCGCTAGTTTGCCTTGGTCTCTGTTTCTTCCTTTGTTGTGGTTTAGAAGATGGTGTTACATCCAAGGGCAAGCAGTCACAGGGAACTAAAAGATTGCAATGGAGAACTCTTTAAAACATCCTTCCTCATTTTTTGCTTGTTAATTCATAGACTGGACTATCCCCTTTCCTTTCAAATAAAACATGAATCTTATCTTTCCAATAGGATCTTAATTTTTCTGATCACGCTCTCTGAAAGATTCTGCACAAGTACTGTCACTGGGAAGGAGGGCAACACCATGCACTTTCTGATCATAGTGATTTTTACCACAAGTAGCAGATTTTTGAGAACACTTTGATGCCAGTTCATATGCTTTTTTCATCTTCTGTGTCCATTTCTCAGCTTAATCTTTATGGTGCCCAGGTATATATTCAGAGTTTATAGGTAAATCAAATGCAATGTCAATACGTAAATGTGATCCCCCATATAATATATAGAGGGGAGAACTCCTGTAGCTTCATTTTGTGTACAGTTATAGACTTAGATGACCTTATTTAAGGGAAACTTTCCAGCTTGACTTTTGTTTTTCTAGCAAGGTTCACAACATAGCGAAGAGTTCAGTTCTGCCTTTCTACCTGCCCATTGCCTTATGGGTGGCATGGGATTGTGAGAGATGTAAAATAGAAACGGTAGTGCTGTAACTTTCCGAATAAATTATTTTCACACTTAAATGGTTCTATTGTAACTGTTAGTTGGCTGGTGAGGATTCTTTTGCTCGACTCATGTACAGACTCTAGTAATGTAATGTTTGATCTTTGCCTTTATCTGTGGCCAATTAAACCGATCTCTTGAAAGACTGATTACTTTCTCTGCTCCTAAATGTCCCATCTCTTCATGTAGCTGTTGATTACCTTTCTTTTTTATTTTTCAGGTAATACCAGTTGATTTTGTAACTTGGTTTTCCAATAAAGTATTGCATCTGTTTCCAGATGCAGTGGTACCACTCTCACACATCAGGGTGGACATATTACCATATCCTCCTGTGTTCTCTTGGTTATTTTGTCTTTACCCCATGGATTTATAATGAAGAATTTTAGCAACAGCTGGATCTTCCTTTTGAACATCCAAAATATCTTCTCGTGGAAATGGTTTTATGGTGGATTTAATAACTGTGGACATGAGTTTCTACTAGCAAAGGGATGGTAGTAATAGCTGCTAACTAAGATAACTTGTCATCTTTTTGTACATCTAAGGACTGAAAGACAGCATTAACATCTTTGCTTGTCTCTTTTGTGCATTTTGTCATCTATTTTTCCATATCAAGGGGCACTCTAAATAAAGCATCTGGCTACACCTTAGATTTCCCTAGATGATGATTAACTTTGAAGTTCAAGTCAGCTAATTTTGAAGCCTGTGGCATTCAGCCTGGCAGAAATGAAGGCATAGGTTAGCAGGTTGTTATTGCTGTAAACTGATGGATTTTGTGTATAGAAATAATCATGGAATTGGTCAGTAACAGCCCACTTCAAAGCTAGAAACTCCAGCTTTCCTTAGTGAAGGTGATAATTCTCCTCAGCTGTACTACATGTTCTTGACCCATACCAGTTATTCTATCTTATTGAAATTAATAGAAGGCTGCACTTAATCCCTTATTGGAAGCATCTACGTGAAAGAGAAAGGGTTATGCAAATCAGAATAGGCAGTTTTTGGTGGCAGTTGTTTTAAAACATTTTGATGTCGCTGAGTCCAGAGAAGTGGCTGTTGGGAGGATATCTGTCCAAATGCCTTTCCTTGCCCTTTAGCTTTCTTCTTTTTCCAAGCCACTTTTGACAGTGTTGAGTCAGATTCCACTGAAACAATCAACAAGTCATACAGTGGCTGTGCTATTCTAGAAAAGTCTTGAATGTAGCTTCAGTAGTAGATGATGAAGCCTAGCAGCTTGCAGAGTTCCTGTATTGTGTTCGGTGGTTTCTCTGCGAGAACACAAAGAGTCAAGGTGTCAGTTGGATCCATTTTATAACCTTCAGCAGATACCACCATTACTGAGTAATGTACCTCTGTTTTAAGGTCATATTGAGAAACGTTTATCTTAATTATATGCTTCTGTGACTGTTGCAATACTCTCCTTGTGTTCTCTGTGCGTTCTTCAAAAGTGCCACTGTCCACAAGAACGTTGTCCAGGTAGGAAAATGCAAACCTCATCTCCTCTTCCATCAACTTAGCAGCTGCTTCTCGAGGGGATGGATTTACTACAGTGATGGGGAAAAACCCTGTTTGTTGCTGTAGCAAGTGTCTACACTACAGTGACGTACCTGGAGTGCTGCAACTTGTAGTGTAGACATACCCTAAATTGGGTACTCTGGGTTGCAGCTTGGGTGTTTAATGGCAAATACAGGCTGCTCCAGGTAGATCTGATAGTGTCGACTTTGCCTCTGCTCTCTTGTGATTTTCCTGCATGACACCTGACTGGTAGTGTTCCATACTGCCACATCTGAAACAGCGGTCACAAGTATCACCTCTGCCAGATTGTCTGCAGCTAGCACAGGGGCAGGCAAACTTTTTGGCCTGAGGGCCGCATCGGGTTTCTGAAATTGTATGGAGGGCCGGTTAGGGGAGGCTGTGCCTCCCCAAACAGCCAGGCATGGCCTGGCCCCTGCCCCCTATCCAACGACTCCCCCTTCTCCTTCCCTGATGGCCCCCCGGGGACCTCTGCCCCATCCACCCCCCCCCGCTCTCTGTCCCCGTACCCCCCGCCCCATCCAAGCCTCCCCCTCCCCCTTCCTGACTGCGCCCTCGGGACTCCTGTCTCATCCAACCACTCCTTCGCCCTGACGGCCCCCGCCCCTAACTGCCCCCCATCCACCCATCTCATTCCTGACTGCGCCCCTGGGACCTCTGCCCCATCTGACCACCCCTTCTCCCTGATGGCCCCCGGAACCCCCGCCCCTAACTGCCCCCCTGAGACCCCTGCCCCATCCAACCCCCCTGTTCCCCGCCCTCTGACCACTTCGACCCCTATTCACATCCCTGGTCCTTGACCACCCCCGAACTCCCCTGCCCTCTATCCAACCCACCGTTGCTCCCTGGCCCCTTACCGCGCTGGTGGTGCGGCTGCACCAGGACAGGCAGCCGCGCAGCACAGAAACTGGGTCAGGCCGCGGCTCTGCAGCTGCATGCCCCAGGAGCTCGCTGCTCCGCTGCCCAGAGCAGGGGAGGGTCCGGGGGCGAGCTTCCCAGGCCAGGAGCTCAGGGGCTGGACCGGACGGTCTCGCGGGCTGTAGTTTGTCCACCTCTGAGCTATCACATCCTCTTTTCTGGGGTTGCTTGCCTGCATGTGTGCTCGTACCATTCACTGCTTTTATGTGCACCCAGACAGCTTGCTTGCTGCTTATACTAATTTCAGCTTTTGCACCTTTGAGTTCATCAATACTAGCCTTTAGTTCCCTTATCTCATCCATCAACAAGTCACCTTTTGAGATTCTTTTCACTCAAGAGGAGGTGCTGCTTCCCTTTCTGACCTGTGCTCTGTGTATGGCAATTTGACAGAATTACAAGCTGCTGCCATAGCATGCCGTCCATTCCCCAACTTCTGGTGTTTCTCTGCTTCCTCAGCTACAGGAGTATGCAGCTTCTCAAACAAGGTCTCGTGCAACTTGATTATCTTTTAAATGAGGTTGCGTCACAGTCTGACTATCCTGTCAGGACTAAATGGAGGAATGTGTTTTGTTGCAAGGACAGGGTTATATCTTAGGTCAGAGTCAGCTCCTTGTGAGGCAAACAGTACTTTCTCTCTGAAATCAAGTTCTCCGAGTAGGGAATCCTGATGTGTCTTTTGGCTCTTGCGCTGGGTTTAAGAGCTGCATGCAGGTAAAATTCAGTTGCATCTTTTCCCTGGTTATAGGGCCTTGAGATGCACCTCAGGTTTGGCAGGCTGAGTTTTTTTCCTTCCAGCTAGCTCCTGAGGCTCTGTCCAAAACAAACTCTCCTAATTACAGCTTCTGTTCTCTCAGCGTTCCCCTTTCAAATCCTACTTTCAGTTTGATAAATCAAACTGCTTAGCCTCAGTTCATCTATCCTTCTGGTGGGAGTTCCCAATCTATCCTGCTGTTTTTAAATGTATGCAGTGGTGGTGGTGGTGTAGCCGTGTTGGTCCCAGGATATTCGCGAGACAGGTGTGGAAGATACTACTTCTCCCACCTTGTCTGTTACTTTACAGTCTTTCTTTAAAACTGGTTGTTTTCTGGGATAGAGTGACACATTTTCCCCAGGGATTTGTCGTTTAATTTCTCTCATGCTTTTCTGAAACTCTATTTCTAATGACTTTGCAGACCTTCAATTCTTAAAGGGACAAGGCACTGGTAACTCTAACTCTAGTATTCTCATGTGAGCTGCACTTTTACTTATTGGCTAATATCGAAATGTTAAATCAGTCTTATTAAATCTGCTCCCGGATGTGCAACACTGAATAGACTTGTTTCAGAGTAACAGCCGTGTTAGTCTGTATTCGCAAAAGGAAAAGGAGTACTTGTGACACCTTAGAGACCAACCAATTTATTTGAGCATAAGCTTTCGTGAGCTACAGCTCACCTCATCGGACTTGGAGTCACAGGGCAATTCCCAGGGTTATTTTTTAAATTCTTATGCCCACATTGCCGTCAATTGGATGTTTCTTACCAATTTTCCAGCTTCCCATTTGGAGAACAGAGAGATCATAATTTTATTTTTAGTAAAGTTCAAAAGGAATGTGGCTTTGTTTTATCATCTCTTGTTATCCTGCAGCAAACTTCTGGGAATAAGGTTGGCTAGCATGCTCCCTCTGCTGGATGGCTTGCCTGTGGCAGTAGAGCAAAAAACATGCTGATGCAGGGGCAGGGGTTGTCTGGCCTTTCTGATTAACCTTTTTTCATGTAGTCTCTTACTGGTAGTGCCCCCTGTGGCTCACTTTCTGGCATTCCTATCGTTATCACTATCACACTATGCTTTTCTGCCCTGTATGAGCATGTCTGTGTTCCTTTTTATGGGTAGCAGCACAAATTGATATCCCTGTAAACCCCACCCCCTCAGCTCCACACCTTGTGTCCATCCCAACTCTGGGAAGGTATCCATCTCTCAAAAACCACCCTCAGGGTTGGTATCAGAAGTAGGGCCGTTTGTCCTTCCAGTACTCTTCCTCATACAAGCTTTGTGAACAGAGGTCTTGAGTACCCAGATCTGCAAACCTGGCATGTTTTCATCAGCACAAAATTCAGCTTAGGGGTGGGGGGGAAGAAAAGCTTGAGAGTCTGCTGATTTACCATCTTTGAATCAGCTGCTCTCAAAATATCTGTAAAATACTGTTCCAGCCGAAAACGGGATTACAACCCAAGCACGAGCTGCCACAAGGGAGCTGTGTAAGTTATCCTGTCTGTAGCACAGTGGCCTGCTTTTTTATTTATTGGATTTGTTCATCTCCCAAGTTACAACATTCTCTGAAGACCCACTTGGCTACTTTTTGAGTCTCAAATTCTTTGCTGTGGAAAATAGATCATCCTTAACTGACCTTGGAACTCTTAAAGGTTATGCATTTGTTCTAGAATCTAGCTCATACAGAGTCCCCTCTGCCCACCCCTAATCCTCTATTTCTGTTCACATTGCTGTCCTCTGTCATACAGGTTTGTAAGCTGGGGACCATCTTTGATTCCTCCCACACTTACCCTACACATCCAGGCTATGTTCAAACCCTTCTTTTTTCCCCCCTAATAACACACTCTAACTCTGACCTTTTTCTTTCTGTCCATGCTGTTAAAACTGTAGTCCAAGTCCTAATCTTCCATCTTGACTTCTGTCCTCTCCTCTCTGATTTCCACATCATGCCTTCCCCAACCCCTCCTATCCTTTCAAAATATGACAGCTGGGACTCTATTCCTGCCCATTGCTCAACTATGTCACTCCTCTCTTCAGCTCTCTTGCCTGGTTTCCCCTCTGTAAACACATCCTGTGCAAGTGTCTTGTCCTTCCTGTCTAGGCCTTCATGACTGCCCCCCCTCTGCTTCTCCTGTCTTGTCTCTTATAGTGTCACCCTTGCTGCTTCCTCCTCTGCAAAGGGATGCCAGCCTTGTTCATCCAATTATCAGCTTCTTCTACAGCCATCTGTGTTATTTGTTTTCTGTGCCACCCCTTACGCATGCTGCACCATCCCTGCATCTGAGTGATCTGGATGGTCATTACCTCCTCCTTCAGATTCCCTCCTCAAGACCCATTTCTGCTTTGACCCTCACAAGAATTCAACCAGTCAGCAATGGCTTGTGTGTCTATCAGGACCAGCTAGTTTTATTTTTTTAAATGGCATTTTCATGAACCATCAAGTAGTGCAGTTGCTCCCTATATCACCACATGCTTTTATTTTCATCACCCTCATCCCCCTTCCCTCTCTTTGTTTCTCATACTCAAATTGTGCTCGGTTTCAGAATGCAAGTTCTTGAGGGAGTTACTGTTCATATTTGTTTATATAGCACCTAACACAGTGGGAGGGCCTGATCCTAACTGGGGGTCTCAGAGCTACAACAAAACAGCTAACATGGAAAGACGATGATGCTTAACTTCCAAGCACATATCCGAATTGTACTGTGGACACTCTTAAGACTGAGTCTTTTCATCCCTCTTGTATTTTGCATACCAGTTAATAGTTAACTCGTTGGGGCATAGTCACTGAAACCATGAGGTATAAAAAGATTGAGCTGCATGAAAGGAGTAATTGGCCTTCTGAATCTTAGTAGCAAATGGCTGTTCAGTGTACCTGCTTGTGAATTTCAGCAAGGAGTTTGAGAACTTCTGAATTTCCATGTTGTAATTGAAGTTCTTCATGGGACATCAAACAACAATGGCATGGATTTAACTGGATAATTACATTAGTGTCCTAGAATCCTCCAGCTTAACAATACAATGGAGTGATCCCCGGGAAAGGTGCACTTGTAATAAGTAGGTGACTTTTAATTGATTTGTAGTAGAACAGTTCATTCTCAGCATTTTCCATCTCTCTAGGATGAGTAAAACAAGGACATATTCGTCATCTGTTTGGGTCACCAAAAGTGCTCAATGAAAGGGCGTTATGTTTGATTGTAGCTTGTTTTGTTTCATTGTCAGCACTTCCCAAATACTTCTAAACCATTTATTAAAGGGATGTACTTCCTTGCTACTCTGAACCAGTAAGTTGTACGTACTGTGTTTGTCTGTCCAAAACTCACTTGAGGAGTATCAAAACAGTGTCTTGTTCTTGTTTACAAATAGATTAAATTATTTTTTTATTTCTACAGCATAATAGATGTGCCTGGAGCTTTACAGGCAAATACAACACACCCTTGTCACGCTTACGCTTCAAGTTAGACTAGGTGTAACCAGAAGAGCAGAGTGATATGTGGGAGGAAGAAAAGGGAATTGAAAGATGCACAGAGTGTTACCTTAGTTGCATAAAAGCCATTAGCTCCTTTATTATTTTCTATTGGACTTGGTGTCTGCAGTTTTTTACAGCTAGCAGTTCTTCATTCTTGACTAGTAAAGCCATTGTGCTGGAAATCTGAGTGTGAAAAACCCTATAAAGAGGGCGAGAATGGAGGTCATCTACCCGAAATAAGTGAGCCTTGAGGAAATACCATGAGGAATAGGCTACATCAGGGTTGTGGATGATGTTCCAGGCATGGGCAAAAGCACAGGGTTGTAAGAGGAGATCGCCATGGGATTATCAAGACATGCTGTGTTGGTAGAGCATAGGGTGGAAGTGGGGCAGTTAGGAGAGGAACAAAAAGAGATGTAGGCAAAGGTTGGGAAGGGCCTTGAAAGTGAGGACGAGGAGTTCAAAATTGATGTGGAAGAAGATTGGAATCAATGCAGGAGATTCAGAGGGGGAGTGACAGACCAGTGGGCAAAAAAAAAGTGACAATAGATAAGTAAACAAAGGAATCTCACTCATTAAAAATCTACTAGTGAAAATCATAGACCTGTCAAAGGAAAGTAACAGATGGCATGGCTTTACCAGTGCCTGCGGATCACTAAGTCATCGGCACCAATCCATCACACATTGGTAAATTGACTGGAATGTGCTGCCTTGCCTTAAAGTCTTTTTGTTCCTGAATCAAATACGTGGGGTTGTGTGTGCTGGAATTCCTTTCTGATTGGCTTTTTCTAACTTGCAGCTACTTCATCAGTTCCAACGTCTAAGACAGAAACCTCTCCCTCGCTTCCTACTGCGGGGTCTCTGCCTAGCACGGCGTCCTCCACTGCTTCGCTTCTGCCTTCAGCTCCACAGCACACAGCAGCGTTACCCAGCTTGCCCCAGTCCAGTGACTTGGCCAGCAGCTCACTCTCCCAGTTAAGCAGGTACAGTAGGAGGACAAAGGAAAACGGGTTGAATTTGGGATTAGTGGCAGTGTGCGCAGGATAGAAATGGGTCAGTGTACAAGGTGACTCCAGATAAATGCGGTCCCCTCTCTTGTTTTAACCTGAACTAGGACAGGTATTCATAAGAGATCCAGGATAATGTTTCTGGTTGGAATATATGAACCACATGCTACATATCAGTGGTACTATGCCCACAGATCTCTGTGCTTGGAGTCTCATAGATTTAGCAGCAATATTGTATTTAAGGATCTGCTGCTTCAGTGTAGCCTATAATGGATTCCAAATGAGACACACACCTTCATTTGGTGTTTCTGCCACCTTATCCACAGCACCAGCTATTAATCTGGCCAGTGGTTTATCCTATAAAAATTCAGTTCTTTAGCAGTTGCTTTTCTAACCATTTTAAAATGTTGTAGATGTTTAAATCCTTGATCGTCACACATTTAAAGTAAAAAATGCCTACATTGGGACTGAGGGCTGAGTGGTTCCGAGTGCTTCTTGCTAAGATGTTTCCTTGAGGAAATGTCAGATTGAAGCTCTGGGAAGTTCAGTCCATCACCACTCAGCTCTTCTGTGCCAGCTGTTTGCTTCCCACTGCACATTATTAAAGCTTCTTTCTTGAACAGGTGTCCTCGTGAGTCTATATTAATTATACAAACTACTTATGCTGTTTGACCTCTTCACTTTATTTCTTGAATTTAGGAATGGATTGAGCCAGGACCTAATGGGTCTTGTCCATCTCCCAGCTAGTGCATGGTTGTGCCCTACTGGACAGCCAGTGTTGAGTGAAGTCTTAAATGACTCAAGTAATTGGAATTATTCCTTTCACCCGAGACTCGATCTCTCATGTTTTTGCTGTACCACCTTTCATCCAAAAGGGATCCAAAGCGCTTCACAAACGATGAGTGAGGCGCCTTGCTAGAAATTTGGGTTGGGGTGTGCATGATGTGGGACAGACTTGGAGTAACCTGAAAAGACAGTGATGCCTGATTTCCAAGCACATATCTGACTTGCATGTGCAGACAGCTCTTGAGTCTGAGTCTTTTCAGTAGTGGACCCCGATGAATCAAAGTGTCGGGGGAATGTGCATTTCGAAAACTACCTGTGCATGACTGAACCATTTCCTTCCTTCTGCCACAGTGTCTCCTCATCCTGGTGGCTGCAGGAGAGAGCGGCACTAAAAGTCTTAGTGAAATTGATCTGTACAGCTGCAGAGGTGTGTGCTGGTCCTCCTCCTGGACATGCACCAAAGGGCTTGGTCCTGAATTAGGAACTGTCTGACACTATTAACTTTCAGTCTGGTTATAAACACCACTGGTGCATCTCCAAAGAAAATGCCTGTATTTAATCATGGTCAGGACACTTGTCCTCCTGTCCCTCATTGACATGAATGGGGCTTTCTTTATGCCAGAATTCTGAAGGGAGCATATAGACGTGTGAGTGTGAGCAGACCTGGTTCTGAGCTGCTTTACTCTTCTGGGTGGTTGGCTTTGTTTGTGGTGGTTGCATTTTGTTTGATCCTTATTTTGCTGCGGTGGTATTAGTTTTGGGGTGGGAGGAAAGGTGAAGCTGTTGGTCATTTAAAATGCTTAAAAATAAGCTTTAGACACCTGCCAAGAAGGCTTTTACAGGACAGCTGCTGAAATCTGGTGCTGGTGTCACTGTTAGCACTATAATCTTGGAGGTTGGACTCCTTGATTGAAAACAAGCAGTTATAGGAAGAATGAATTTACTCCCTAAAAGTACAATCTCTACAAGAGTCCATTTCCACTAGTTAGAAAAACTTTAAGCCTTTTCCCCAGAGATTTAAAGGAGCTTGAAGATAAACTAGCTGAGTTGTGCTGGATGTGGGGGGATAGCCTAACTCAAGGACGAGAAAAGCAAAACAATGCAGTACAAGAAACGAGAGTTGATTTAAAAAGTTAGGGTTAGGAGTTTGAGAATGGCTGGCTTGCCTGAAAATGTAGGAACTGGGAAGACCGTATTCCTTCTGCTGAGGCATCAGAAGATTCACATCTAGCAGGAAGAATGTGGCTTGCTTTTTTCATTTCTGCTAGGAGATTTCTGAGGAGTAAGTCTGCCTCTGAGAACTGTCCTAATGTACGTGAACCGGATAGTGAGAAACAAGCTCCTTACTGTTGCAAAAGGAGCTGATCCTTTGTTATTTCAAGGCTGAGTTCTGTCCTTTATGATTCTACATCTCTCAGGAGATATGAGGCTTTTCCTTTGTAAACAAGATGAGGGATTTAGGTCTTTAAATCATCTGATTAAATGAAGAGTGTACTTTGGCAATCAAGTTTGTGTTTTAAATTCAGAAAGTGGAGACCTGCCTAAAGCAGTGAAGGTTTGAGAGCACAGAAGTTGCTCCTGAATCCGAGCTTGAAGAGTCTACATGACATACAGATACATGCAAACTCCTATTGTTTAGTCTTTTTTATTTTTATTTGAACTACTCTTCCGTTTATCTTCTCACTGTTTCTACCTAGAATTTCTATAGTGAATATTCTGTGTAATGGACACTTTAACATGCTCTGACTCCCTGAGTTTTACTGTGTTTGAATATTTTAAAATGTAATTGGAATTTTTTTATATAAGAGCGACAAGGTGGGTGAGGTAATATCTTATTGGACCAATTTCTGTTGGTGAAAGAGACAAACTTCCAAGTTCCATAGAGCTGCTCTTCAGAGGTTGGTCCAATAAAAGATATTACCTCACCCACACTGTGTCTCTCGAATCCTGGGACCAGTACAGCTGGAACAACACTACAGATAGCAAGAGAAGATCTGTAGTGTTATGTATGCATATTGTGAGTGATTAAAATGGATTTGGGGGCTCGATGGTGTGATTTCAGTTTGATGCTAGAATTCCCTTTCAGTGTTCTAAGTGACAAATGTTCTTCCTGCTTTTACTTCACCCTTTTTAATCTACACTTTTTTGGTCCCTGTTTTCCTGAAGGGGTTGAGACCATTAGCGGACATGTAGTGTTAATACTCTGGAATGTTCATTAGTGGGGTCAGTATTATGCAGTTGAATTCAGAAGGGATTCTATTTCTTCTTATAAATGGCTTGTAGTCATTGCTTTGGCAACCCCATAAGAAACTTTTACTCATTTAAAACTCATAGAAATTTACAAACTCTAATGAGCAATGTTTTCATGTCAGTCACAATGGCTTTCTTATAACACTGAGAGGAGAGTAGTTAATTGCCATTCTCCATTGTAAGAAGACCTTTGACTTTGTGTTGCTTTTGATTCCAGAACTGGTTTTCTGTATATCTCAATAACTTCTTTTTAGTGCTAAAATAAAACACTAAAACATTAAGAAGTATTTTTAAATGCTTTTATAATGTTCAGTTGTGAGAAATTTCAGGATGATTAGTCTGTTTAGTTTAGTTTTATTGATTAACCCTTTAAAATTTGTCTTTCTAGTTCCCTCTCCAATCATCAGAGCAGCCTCTCCTCTGCTGCAGTGCTGTCTGCGAGCACCTCACATGCGGTAAGTCCCGTTTGCATCATAACAGCTATTTAGTCTACATTGTTGTCTGCAGTGTTGAAATGTGTTCTCTACTGATGCTAAACAATGTGTTCCGCTTTGCATTTAGCTGTGACACTCTGAGTACGTTTCCCAGACCGGAAGAAGAGCTCTGTGTAAGCTCGAAAGCTGGTCTCTCTCACCAACAGTAGTTGTTCCAATAAAAGATATCACCTCACCCACCTTGTCTCATTAAATCTGCAGTCAGCTTTCCTGATAAAAGTTTAAGATGCCTGTCAAGCTATCTGGAGTGGGACCAGTCTCAGGGCAGACTGCTAAGAAGCAGGGCACAAATTTCAAACTGGTTGTGAATTCTATCCTTAGATTTCACCAACAAAGTATCACGTGTAAACTCCTAAAGCACTGTTACAGCCTTAACATGGAGTCACCGACAGTCCCCTTGGGTACTCTGGTGTGTCTTGCCATCCATGCAAGCGTGCCTTTGTGAGAGATGGTCCTTTACACCAAAAATAACAATATTTAGGTTGCTCCCAGTCCCAAAGGGGACTTACCCAAGTCAATTGCACTTTAAGTTCTATACCAAAGATAACACTTGTAGCCAATCCTATATAATACACTTAAGAAAAATAAATGAGTTATTTACAAGGTTAAAGCAGGTAAACATACACACAAATGAATTGGTATTAAGTTCCAAAAGGTGATAGAAGCTCCTATTATAAGCAAGCTCTCTAAGTCCTTCAGGGCTAACCCACGCCAAGCATTGGGGATCTTTTGCTTCTGATTAGTATTCCTTGCCCTTCAGAGTCCAACCAGCATAAAAGACCAGTTTCTTCATGTCAGGAATTTTTATTCCCTTCCTCCCAGAGTTCAAGCTGATGGGATGAACTCATGCACACGTCTCCTCTTCATGGGGGTGGGAGGAGGAATGCACTTAGCAAAGTCTTTGTCCTTTGATGTTTCACAGTGGCGCGTTTGGTTTCAGTGAGCCTTCTTGTGTACAGGACCTAACACCTTCTATAGGAAGCCAGCCTTTACATTAGTTAATGCTTCTTTCCTGTTTGGTGAGTTACAGTTAGAGGTTTACAGTGCAAACACTTAACATTTGTACCCCATGTTATTAGGTTATATTAAGTGAGATTAATACATGCAACATCCTACATGCTTTTCATAAAGTCTAAACACTAAACATATTTTTATAAATCTAATACCTATTTTAATAACACTAACACACAGGTGAGCCAGACTGGTTTCCAGCTATGCATTCATCAGTGTTTGGTTGGGCCTAGGCATGAGCTGACACCTGGTCTGCCAGTGTCACAATGCCTTTTTAAAGTGTTACCACCCACGAGGGACTGAGACAAGTGCTTTATCTCACTAGGGAAGAGGGGGAATTTCCCAGCTCGCTAGTGGTATAAAGATCTTGTCTTTATTGCTGATGGCTCATGATTGATTGGACATTAAAGCTGTCAATGGTCTATCACTGAATTTTGCCCATCCTGCCCCTCAGACAAATGTAACCCCAGAGGAAACTTCCACATAAGGGAATAGAGAGAGACATTAAAAAGTCATAGTAAAGTGGCTGTTTGAAGCTGCTCCGAAGTTTTGAATGTTATTGCTAACCTCGGTGGAGTTGAGTTAGCAGGCAGTGTGCAAATGACACGGTCTGAGGTGTGTGAAGAACACCATGTAATACGTGATTCTGGAATCTGTTGCATGGGTATTACTGTCATCTGCAGATGTCAGTTTGTTTCTGGTAACAAGACAACCAGTATTGAATAAATGTGGTGCTACTAGAGCTGAACAGAAAAACGGTTGCTGTCTTGTTCTGTGGTGGGCTGCCCCTCTGTATGCAACTCCAAAATGGCGCATGGATTGGTTATGGTTAGTACAGGGCTTTTCTGTATGGGTTCCGTATATGTAGCACTCCAGTAAGTGTGTTAGAAACCATTACATCACCCCTAGTCAGCAAGTACAGTAAAAGCTGTTTTATCTGGTATGTTGGGAGAGTGGGGGGTGCCCGTTAGTGAAAAATGCCGGTTAACTAAGAGGGGGAGAGTTCGGGTGCGGGAGAGGGTGCAAGTCTGGGGGCACGAGATAGGGTGTGGAGCATGGGCTCTGGGTGGGGGTTTGTGTGTGGGAGGGGGCTTGGGGTGCAAGAGGAGGTGTGGGGCACCAGATCCGTGGACCGCTTACCTCAGGCATCTCCCCGCAAGTGGCGACCTGTCGTGGCTGCTCCTAGGCGGAGGCACGGCAGGCAGCTCTGGGGGCTGCCCTGGCCCCACCCCGAGCGCTGGCTCTGCACCTCCCATTGGCTGGGAACCATGGACAATGGGAACTGTGGGGGCAGCGCCAGGCATAGAGCTGCCTAGGAGCGCCTCCGCCTGGGAGCAGCCAGAACAGGTCGCCGCCTGCGGGGAGCCACCCAAGGTGAGCAGCCCACAGATCCATGCCCCAAGTCCCCTCCCACATCCAAACTCCCTCCCAGAGCCCGCGCTCCGCACCCCCTCACGCACCCCAACCTCCTGCCAGCCCTGCGCCAACCGGACTATAAACTGGTGTTTCAATAAATATCAGAAATGCTGGTTTATAGAGCTTCCCAGTTGAAGTGCCAGATAAAACAGCTTTTACTGTACCTTGAAATCTCTTACTTAGCAGAACGATCCCTCTTCCCATTCTTTGCTGAGCTTTAGTTTTGCCATTATGGCACTTATATTGCTCTCTGGCACTATGCTGCAAGCAGTACCCTATCTGGCTTGCATATCAGTTTAACACATCTCCATTACCACTAAGGGCATCACGGTTTTTAAGTTTGTATTTCTCTTTTAATTTCTGCAAGTGGCCTGAAGAAATTCTATTAGCATGTGCCCTTTAAAGCAAATATCCTTTTCCTTAGATAAACCCCATGACCTTGCAAAGATAACACAAGTGTGACCTTATCTAAGTTAAAGGATCATTCTGTTGAGAGCCAAAATGACCATATTTAACACACTAAAAAAAACAACCGAACCACAGATATATAATTCCAAGTTCCAACTCAGGCCTGGTAACTTGCGTTTCATTCTCATGGTGTAGGTTTATAGAACCTCTTAATGGATTTATAACCTTTGGCTCACTGTTCCTTGTTGAGTATGTGTATAAAACGGATGATAACGCTAGGATTCTCTTGCACATGCTGCTGCTGCCTACAAGGTCGGGTGGTGGTTTTACTCAGGTGTTTTGCATTGTGGTTTGTCTGCTCTGTGATCTCCATTCTTTTTGTCTCCTTTCTAGCACACCAGTGCTGAGAGCACAGCTTCACTCCAGCCCTCAACAACCTTTTCAACTGCTTCAACCTCAGCCACTAGCACCATATCCTCGGTTGTCAGCATGGCAAGCAGTATGAACACTACGAACAGCCTTGGCCTGAGCGTTACCAGCGTGTCTATGCCAGCTGCTTCTACACGGGCAGCTCCCTTAGTGTCTTCAGGTTCGCAATATTAACAAATCACATGAATAGACAGAGGACCTCAGTCTGCAGGGTTGTCAGTTGAGCACCACGCCAGCAATAACTACGCCAAGAAATATACACTCTTTAAAGACTTGCATTTTTCAGCATGCTTTACTTGCTGGCCTGTGAAATAAAGTTGCCTGCTTTTATGTGTTGGGAATATTTGATGGGTAATGATTAGCATTTATGTAGCATGTTCCATCTTCAGAAAGCTTTAGAGATAATAACCAGAGCTGCTCCTGATTTAGTAAATGTGGACCTGTAGAGAATTGGTTTGCAAACTAAGCAACATGATCAGCTCTTGGCTTTATTCACATTAGCTTTTACTTCTCACTCTCCCCCTGCAGTCCAAGTTCATGTGGCAGTATCAGAATCCACTGCAATTCCAGCCTTCATTACCCCATGGCAAAGCACTGCTGCCTTGGCGACTGCAGAGAGGAGGCTCTGGATTCATGTGTTGCCCATGCCACTGCAAATGGCTCTGCTGGGAAAAAGAACACCCAAAACTGCCAGGGCTATTCATTTTGTATGGTGGTGGCAAGACTCATCTTTTTCGGAGACGGGAGATGAGTTGTCTTGTGCTTAAATGGAAGCAGTACTGAAGTTCACTGCTGGCTTTGCAGTCCGCTTTAGCTGCCAAAAGGAAATGTGATGGGTCGGGATATCCCTTAGGTGAAGGAACGGGACATTCTGCCTGAATCATATGCACAGGTGTTTCTCTCTTCCCCTTCCACTTGTACTGCCAGTGGAGATTCTAATGACTGGCCAGACAAAGTGCATTACTCCCCCCATGGTCCTCAGCACAGCCCTGCTTCATAGCATGAGATCCAAGCCGCATTATGACCTCTCCTCTTCGCTCTTCCTAGCTATAGCTGAAGCCAGCAGTACCCACAAAAGAGAGCTATTATGATGATATGATGTTGATGACAAGTGATTTCCAGCCGATTGTGTGGGTTTGGGGGGGTGGGGGGTGGGGAATGCTATCTGTTGCAGTGAGAATGAGGCTTGGACTCTTCCTCTGAAAAGGGACTAGGGGAGGGAGCAATGGGTCCGTAACCCTTTCCATCATTTCAGACTCCTACTAACCTGAGAACTAATCCACCAAACCCAGACTGATCTTTGGGATGGGACCATGTTCTGTACCTCTGAGCCCGTGTAGGATCTTTATCTCTTCGTATGTCCAGTCCCTTAGCTAGCAAGATGTCTGTTATAGTATTCAGGCCCTCTTTCAGGTATTGTTAGCTTCCAGTTTTTATTCACCATTCCTCTTTAGCAAATCTCTGCTGTCTAGACACTGTGATAGTTCAGCCTTCAGGGCAGGCCAGCAAACTTGTCTCAGGGCTGAAGCCTTTAGTTTATGAGGCTTGTTAAAATTTTTGTATTTTGATTCTACAGGCAAAGCTCCCCCCAACCTGCCCCAAGGTGTACCACCCTTGTTGCATAACCAGTATATTGTGGGACCTGGAGGACTCCTGCCTGCCTACCCAGTAAGCAACTTCATTGTACCTGCCCTAGATTACTTAACTCCTTGGTGCCAAAGGGTCCTCCAGACCCACCACTGTCTATGCCAGCGTGTGTCTTTTTTTGGCACGTGCTGCGTGTGGAATCCTGGACTCCTTGTTCCAGGTGCTGAAGGGTATGGGAAGTATTCCCATACTGTGCAGGTTTCCAATTCATTGCTAAATTCAAAACTGACCTTGAAAATCCTTGATTACAGATTTGATTCTGCTTCCACTGAAAAATGGGAGTTTCCCCAGGGACTTAAATGGGATTAGTATTAGGCCCTTTCAGTTGAAATGGAATCATCTGAGTTAAATGTTTGACTTTCTAGGATAGATTGGGTGTGCTGTGCTCAAAACCAGATACACGTCCTGTCACCCGTATTTTCAGATAGATGTCAGCATGCCTTGGAACAGACTTCATCTCAGGGCTGCACAGTCTAGTCTCCTCAGTTGGACACTGTCCTACCACTAGTTCTTTTCCTTCTTCACCGAAGGGAGGGAATAGTCGTTCCTCAGTTCTAACCTAGAAATGAACGATTGTATCTTGCAAACTGAAGGCCTGTTCACTGAATCTTGGAGCACCATGTACCGGGGAGCAATAATAGCAAACAATGCAGTTAAGAGGGTTGATTAACTCCTAGCTCTGAATGTCTTGTGGTTCAGTTTCTAGTAAACCGTGTGCCCTTGAGAACTGTACTGACTACACAGTCTTCAGACCTCAAATCTCAAGAGTGCCAATGATGATGGGAAAATGAGGGTTTGTAATTGACATGTCAACCAAACTTTAACTGTGCTAGCCCTTGGAAATAGAACTTGATCGTACAAGATCTGCGATAGCCTGGTGTTTTTAAAATTGGCTGGGTCTAGATTAATCTCTGTCTTAAAACCCACAGATAGGCCAATATTAGCGAAAAGTGTTACAATGTCGTTGTATTTTTATCTGTCTTCAAGCAGATCTACGGTTATGACGATCTTCAGATGCTCCAATCCAGGCTGCCAATGGTAAGTACATGAACCAGATGGCTTGCTTTCACTGTGAGTTAATCTTTCAGAGTAGTCGTTCTGCCCAGCAGAAACCACTTCAGTTTATGGTGATTTTTAAGAGCTTTCCTTGAGGCTGTCCTACTTCGATGAAGCTGTTGCTGATGTATTCTGGCTGCTCAAGTATCTCCTTTCAGTGCGATTACCTAGAAGGTGTAAGTTCCTTAAGGTTCTTCTTCGAGTAACACTCCTATGGGTACTCCATTTCCGGTGCACATGTGCTTCTCGAACCCCTGATTGGAGATTTCTAGCTAGCTGGGACTTTTCAGCTCTCACACATGCCTTATGCCTCCTTGTCTCAGGCCATGTCTACACTACGGGGGGGATGATCGATCTAAGTCAGGGGTGGGCAAACTTTTTGGCCCGAGGGCCACATCGGGGAATAGAAATTGTAGGGTAGCCCATGAATGCTCACAGAATTGGGGTTAGGGTGCAGGAAGGGGTGAGGGCTCTGGTTGGAGGTGTGGGCTATGAGGTAGGGTTGGGGATGAGAGGTTTGGGGTGCAGGAGGGTGCTCCATGCTGGGATCAAGGGATGTGGAGAGCGGGAGGGGATCAGGGCTGGGGCAGGGGGTTGGGGCATGGGGAGAGGCTCAGGGGTCCAGGCTCCACGTGGCGCTTACCTCAAGCAGCTTCTGGAAGCAGTGGCATGTCCCTTCTCTGGCTCCTAGGCATGGAGGGCCTGCGACCCTCGGAGTGGGGTGATGCCACGGCTTCCGGGAGCTGCTTGAGGTAAGCACCGTGTGGAGCCTGCACCCATGGTGCAGCCCCCGACCTGACACCCTGGCTGGAGCAATGGAGCAGGGCCAAGCCGCGTGGTGCAACCCCCAAACCAGCTCCCCAGTAGGAGCTCGTGGGACGACTTAAAACCGCTCGCGGGCCGTAGTTTGCCCACCCTGATCTAAGTTATGCAATTTCAGCTACGAGAATAACATAGCTAAAGTCGACGTTCATAGATCTACTTACCGGGGGGTCCACACTACGCGCGCTTCTCGTTCAGGTGAAGTACAGGAGTTGGTGGGAGAGTGATCTGCGATCGATTTAGTGGGTCTTCACTAGACCCATTAAATCGACTGCTGATGCATTGATCACCGCATGTTGATCGCCCAATAAGTGTAGACAAGCCCTCAGGCACCGAGGCTATGTAGTGGTGTGCGGGTGAATTGCCCTCAGTTCCTTCTCTACTGCCTCGGCCTAGAGCGTACTTGGCCTTCTGTTTTTATTGCAGTTAGGTAGATTATTGTTGTAGGTTAGTGTTTAGAATTTACTACAGTTAGTTAATTTTTAGGATTGTCTTTCTTTTCCTCCAGGCAACTTGTCTTCTCTTGGCGAGGCATTACTGGCTCACCAGGCTTCAAATGCTGCCTGTCTTGCTGGGAGGCTATATCGATAAGCAATGGGCACTCCAAATGTGTCTGTTGCCTGGGGCAGTCCCATGTCTCTTAGGAGTGTTTCTTTTGCTTGGCACTTAAGTCCAGAGCAAGGAAGAACAGGGAGATAAAGCTCAGTCTGTTAGCCATAGAACGATCTCTTCAACCCATCCTCTGAGCTAGATCAGGAGATTCTCCCCTCTCCCCCATATATCCATCCCCAGACAGATCTGGCACCCTGTCAGCCTCTGGGCATGCTTGCCTAAGCAAGAGAAGTCTTTGGAGCCCATTGGGAAGACTCCCAGAAAGAGAACCATGGACTCCCACTCTAAGGAGCAAGATTCCCTGTTGAGATGCTTGGTGTCTCAGAGTACCATTGAGGCCTAGGACTCTTCCTCCGGTACCAACATGACTGTGAAGCCCCAGAGTTCCCAGAACAAGAAGCATGGCTCCGATAGCGTACTGGTACCCTCCACCAGTAAGGAAGGCAAGCACAGGATACCATCAAGTTCTGCCTCGCCATCAGTACCTATGCATCCCACTTGGCCATTGGTGCCATCATGCGCCTTAAGCCAGCTTTCGGTACCAATGCAAGCAGCTAAGCCAGGGGTGCCTGTGCAAGCCATACCCTCGGTACTAAGGAAGCAACAGCGCCAGACATCTACAGTTCCAGCGGTATGCCCATCATTGTCAGAACTGTCGGCTTCAGCTACAGCGACCTCACTTATGGTATCGGTACTGGGGTCCTTTCTAATACCACAGAAATTCTGATACTCGAGGGAACTCTTGGTGTCGGATGAACCAGAGTCCATCAGAGTTGTTGACAGGTACTGAGCATCTCTCGGTACCAACAGCGTGGTCTCTGAGCAGCCATCCTGTGGCACAGGGCTCTCTTCCATCTTCAACAGCTGCCTCACTCCCCCCATGGGAGGATATGGAGGAAGACAACTTCCAAATGGTCTCTTTGACTTCAGTGATGGGTTTTCCTACATACCCATTTGGGAATCTGCTTTCGGTCAGTTGCAGGGAGGACCTTGTGGGTCACCAAGGGAAATGGAACCAGCCTTGCATGCTAATCCTGCTTTCTTATGGAGCACTGCAATGGCTATATTGGGACCCATGGGCTGACTGTCAGTAGCAATGTACCAAACCACTGGTACAGTCCCTCAGGGAGACCAGGGTTTCATATCTTCCCCTCCCTATCGACCACCCCCACAGCAGGAGACATTTGAGGAGCAGGAGAGTAGGGCAGATAAAGAAGCAACTCCTCAGACTCCCATTTCATTGTTGTTGCAGGATGAGGCCTTTATGCCTCCACCACCTTCCATGGCCAACGACTTCAGGCAGCTTCAGGACCTCATTAGAAGGGTAGCAGACACTCAGCAGATCACTCTGGAGGAAGTCAAGGATCTGCAACACAAACTGCTGAATACTTTGCAGTCAGCTACACCCTCCAAAGTGGTGCTACCTATTAATGAGACTCTCCTCACCTGGCTAAGATGGTGTGGCAAGCACCTGCCACTATTCCACCAATGTGCAAAAAGGTGGATAAGAAACACTGTGTGCTTAAGGATACTGATCACCACCTAACTCCCTAGTGGTGGATGCGGTGAATGAACAGGATAGGTGGCACTTTTCAAGATCTACCCTCATGACAAGGATCAAAAGTGGCTGGATCTCTTTGGATGAAATTCGTACTTGTCCTCAACCCTGCAGTTCTGGATCACAAACTATTAGGTGGTCATATCCAAATACTACTTTACTAATTACAACAGGCTTGCAGCCTTTACTGAAAGCTGGCACACGACTTAGAGAAGCAATTCCAGTCCATAGTTATGGAGTTATTCTCTCCAAATGTCCCTATATGTTGTAGGCACTGCTGCCAGATCTATCGCCACAGCGAGGTAGTTATGCTCAGGATGTCATGACTCCAACTTTCAGGGTTTCCAAGAGAGGTTCAAAACACAGTAGAGGACTTCTCCTTTGATGGTCATAAGCTCTTCTCAGAGACAATGTTCCTGCACATCTTGAAGGGCTCCAGGGCTGCCCTGTGTTCCCTAGGCATTGGACACGCCTACAAGCAAGAAACGTTTCAGTAGTTTCAGAGTGCCCAGAGGTCATGGCCTGTTGAGTTCTTGGGGTACCTTAGACCTTGAGAAGGTTTTAGAAAGAAGGAGAGATTTCAGAGGAATAGAGCTGCTCAACTGCCTTCCACCACCACCCAGGCATCATCTAAACAGCAGTTTTGATAGGTTGGTCACGGGTTCAAATCCTCCCACTCCTGGATGTACAGTGGGGCCTTTTAGCCCACTTCTCTCCCTTTGGGGACTACCTTGTCCATTTTCACCTGGAACCACAGACTAGTGGGTCTTGGAGGTGATAACATTGAGCTATACCATCCATTTTATGTCACTCTCTCCCTTCCACTCCCCTTCCCATCCCTCTTCAGGGATCCCTCTCATGAGCTTCTGTTGAAGCAAGAGGTGGACTCTCTCCTCTGACAGGAGCAGTAGAACTGGTCCCCTTCCCTTCTATTCAAAATATTTCCTAGTGCCAAGGAAGGACAGAGGTTGGAGGCTGATTGTAGATCGAAGACTGTTGAACAAGCTTGTAAAGCCTCAGAAATTCAGGCTGGTGATTCCGGCAACTATAATTCCTTTACTGGATGAAGGGAATTGCTTTTTGGCCCTCGACCTACAAGACGCCTACTTTCCATATAACTATATGCCCACCGCACAGGAAATACCTACTATTTGCCATGGGCCAAGATCATTTCCGGTATCAAGTACTCTCCTTCAGCCTCTCCTCGGCCTCAAGGATGTTTTCGAAGGTTCTAGCGGTCGTGGTTGCCTGCTGCAGGAAGTGATCCTGATCTTCCCATACCTTCACGACTGGTTACTCACCGGCTGCTCCTTTGAGGCAGTGTTGGCTTCCACCCACATGGCTCTTGCTCTGTTCCAGGTGTTGGGCCTTCAGCTGAAAATAAAGAAATCCATGCTGGTACCAGTACAAAGGATACAGTTTATAGGGTTGTACTTGGATTCATTGACAGCCAAAGTATACCTCCCTTTAGACAGATTTATGATCTTGTCAAGTCTGGCAGAACATTTCAGAGGACCACAATAAGGAATTGTCTTCAACTCTTGGGCCATATGATAGCTTACACCCTTGTGGCCAATCACACAAGGCAGTGCCTCCGCTGCTTCCAGGATTGGTTCAGAACAACTGGCTCTTTGAAGACGCACCTTGGACAGGCAGGTGATGGTCCCCTTGCATATAAAGAACTCCCTAAATTGGTGGAAGAAGCAACTCCACATCTGTGCGAGCGTCCCTTTCTGTCACCCAGCCCAATCAGTGACTCTCTAACTGACGCATCCCTGTTATATTGGGGAGCCCACCTAGAGACACTTATGGTTCAGGGCAGATGGACAGACCAAGAGGCTAGTCTCCACATCAAACTATTGGCAATCAGGGCAGCCAGGAACACTTGCTTCCATTTCCTGCCGCTCATCAGGGGCAAGGCAATCAGGGTCATGACTGACGGCCCATCCTTTACCTCCTTCAACTGTGTCTGTCCGTCAGTCAAACTCCTGACCATGCCTCATCTCCTGTCTCATGATGCGGGTTGCGCATATCGCCCCAACCTAGCAGTTCTGTGCCTCAGGGTGTGGCTCCTGGGTGGTTCTGGGGAATAGAGGCTTCCTGCTTTATGAAGGTACAGCTGGTCTTTGTTAAAGAGTAGAAAACATCGGCCCACACTACCTACCTGCAACAACGGAAGAGGTTTGTTCACTGGTATGGTCGTTGTTACCTCTAGCCTGGATTGGTTCCCCTTTCCCTCCTCCTAGATTACCTGCTGGATCTGAAGACATCTGGGTGATCCATCAGTTCAGTCAAGGTATACCTAGCTCCCACATTAGACACCCCACTCCATCCTTGGACCTCAACCCTGGTTCTGAACCACTTCATGAGACCTCCATTAGAACCAATGGCAACCTGCTCCCTACTTCATTTATCTGTGAAGAGGGCCTTTCTAGTTGCCATCATGTTGACTCATAGGATGAGATTGGAGCTGATGAGATTGGAGCCTTGATGGCAGATCCTCTCCCACCCTTTCCCCCAGTGTAATGATCTTTAATGATACGGTCTCTTTATGCCACATTTTGAGTTCCTACCAAAGGGTACATCAGATTTTTATCTTAACCAGTCTATCCATCTACTACCATAGCAGTATTTTTTCCCGAAACATCATCCTTCTCAGCTGGAATCCTATTTTCATAATCTGGACATTTGAAGGGCCTAGTGCTGCTTAGTCCTACCCAGATAGAAGTTTAGGAGATTACCTAGACTTTTCATCTATCTCCTTTGCAGATAAATCCAGTTGGGCTCCTAGCTTTGCTCAGACTTTTGAGATGGATATTGGGATGTATCTTTCCCTGTTACGAGTCTGCAAGTTGTCACATATCTTCCACCCCTTGTGGATCTGGTGATACCACGAAGTCTCTAATTTTGCTTCCAATTCCATCCATTATGTTTCTGCCCTACCTTTGTTTTCCCTGAAAATATGATCTGACTGGAAATAACAGTTGTCTGTCTTCTGTGTCTTTCCTTAGACCAGTGATACTCAGACTGAGGCTCGCAAGCTGCAAGTGGCTCTTTAATGTGTGTCCTGCAACTTTGTAGCACATGATAGTAAAACAGTGTGATTTAATTAACCAATCAGGATGCTTTTACGATGTTAAGCAATTGTAATTGGTCAGTCATTTTGCTGTGAGAATTATATTTTTATATATATAAAGTAAATGAAACCGTGAATTCATGCTACTGCGGTTCTTTTGGGTAAAGTTAATCGCTAATTTGGCTCCTTGAACCACTGAGGGCTGAGTGTCACTGCCCTGACCAATACAAGTTACATTCATCTCATAAAAGGTATGTGAGGCTCACAAGAGCATAGGGATGTTAATTATGCTGCAGAATACATTCATTCCAACCAGTTCCTCAATTTTTTTAGCCATACTTTTATTTTAAAAATATAAATAGTTTAAATATATAAATAAATAAATATAGACGTGACCGTCTCCATTCCCACAATCAGGATAAGTTTGACAATGCACAAAGAAAATAACAATTGCAAAATATTTTTCCTCTCCACCTGTGTCCAGCCTCTAATATATTTCTTAGCTTTTGGATGAGACTCCGCACACAGTACGTGAAGTACATTCATATAGTTCTGTAGCTTCTTTCCTCTTCAGAGCATTTTAAACAATCAGCCCCACCCGCTGAAGTGTATGGTATAATCCCCATTTTACCGATAGCAAACTGAGTCACATAAGTTGACTTGAAAAGGGTCACAAAGTCCGTATCAGAGTTTAAACTTGAGGTCAGATGGTTTCTTGGTCCCAGTTCGCTGTTTCACCCAAACTTCTCAAATGTTCATAGTAAAATGTTTGTCGCCTAGTTTTTCATCCTCGCTGTGAGCTTATGAATATATTGAAAACACCTCTGCCCTTCTTCTCTGACAATCTCCCAGGCACAGGTGCTGTATTTCTTCTCCTTAAGAAAATCTTGGATCCTCTGGAAGTATTTCTTCAGTCTCAGAATGTTGCTCCCTCCCTTTGTATGTAGGCATGCCTCGAGGCGCTCAGTCTGCAGAGCGAGCCCATTTAGGAACCTCTCCACTTTTCTTCTTTCCCAGCCAGTTTGGGATAGGTTCCTGCAAAAGATGCCGAAGAGCTGCTGGAGAATTTCATGGACAGACATCTGGGCTTGTTGTAGAAATTTGGGCTTCAGAATCTTCTCAGGAAACTGGAAGGCTGTCTTGTCTTCCAGACACTCCAAAGGAAACTTCCCACCCATGTTTTGCAGCAGTTGTAGACTGTACCAGTTAAATTTGCTTTGCTGGTGACGAAGCAGGTTACAGTCCAGCGACATGACTCCAGCGGGGAACAGCAATACCAGGCAAATCTGCCACAGGCATCCTTGAGACTTGGTAGCCATGATGATAACGTTTCACAAGGCTTATGCCAAAGTACTTTGTAGCTTGTTAGATGTCTGCGGTCTACTGTGCATGCCTTCCATGTCCCTGAATTTATTTGGTGGGATGTTTTTCCTTTCATCATTTTCTGGTTCTCTAAAATTTCCCTATTTTCATTTTCACTTTCCAACTGCTGACTTAAGTGTCTTCTGACGCTTCTATACCAATGTCCATATTTTCCCACCAGGGATGTTAAACATCTCCTCTCTGCGCAGCATTATTAGAGGCCCTGGATGTTTGACCTCTGCCCTTTGTGTGCTCTGTGCAGCATGTACTGCTAAACTACATTCTGAAATATTTAAACAGCTCAGGCACTAGGGTTCTTAATCATAGTCATATAGCCTAAAGTGCTGAAGCTCTCAGATCTGAATGAGTCAGTTCTCTTTGACTGTAGAACCACAATTATTTTCAACTCCTGAACTCCCAGAATTTTCCATACAGTTTTGTTCTTTTTTTAATAGGAAATCTGAATTCTTTCAGGCATGTGACATAGACCTAGGATTGCAGCCTTCCTACCTGTCAGACTCTCTAGCTGAGCAGGGTTACATGGGATTGGTATTTGAATTCCAGATCTTTGAAGAGATTTGAGGGCTTTGTACGGAGCGCTGCAGGTGATTTCAGTAGGTGTCAGGTTCATCCGTAGGCATTAGAAGAGCTTGCTTGGAGGAGGCCCCTTGGTGGAAAGAATGTAATTATTACTCTCGTGGAAAATGTGGTGGCCTGTCTAGGGCTCGCTGGGGGCCCAGTCTGGTCACTGTGATCCACCATTGGTGGTGTGCTTCCCTTGGAGTCTCTGCCGCACCAGTGTCTGAGTGTATATGTAATGTCTCAGGGTCATTGTACTGTTGGCAGTGCTGCCTTTCAGATGAGTTGCAAAACCAATGTCTTGACCATTTGAGGTTGTTACAAATCCTGAAGTAACATCTACAATGGATTGAGGTGATATCCTTTGGTTTTTGGCCAAATTCTGAATGAGGCAGTTACGTTCTACCTCTGTAAATTCCTACTTTTAAATTGAAATATGTTTAATAGTAGGCTGGTAGTATACAGTATGAACATATAATCAAGATAGTCCAGGGAGATTTACTTTGTAGATAAAGGACCACTGTCAGGTGTTTCAGGCTCTAAATTGTAGGCTTTCTTTTTAAATGTCTTATAAAATGTATTGTATGTAGTGTTGTTGTAGACATATTAGTCCCAGGAAAGTAGAGAGAGAAGGTGGTTCACGTCCAACTTCTCTTGGTGAGAGAAAGGAGCTTACACAGTGAAAGTTTTTCTTTCACCAACAGAAGTTGGTCCAATAAAAGATATTATCTCACTGTCCTTATCTTTATAAAATATACTGAGTACAGTACAACCCCATGTATCTGACCCTTCATTATCCAGCTCTCCGTATTAACGGAACAACCAGCACATGTAGGTCTAGAAGTAGATCTCTCCTGTAGCCGCTAGATGGTGCTGCAGCCTTGCACTTTCCCATTCTCTGGATTATCGGAATTTTTGATGATCCAATCTGGCCCTGGTCCCAGTAAGATCTGATAAATGGAGGTCTGCTGAATTTAACTTCTTAAAAACTAATCCCAAACAAAGAGCTTCATGTGGCATTTGCAGCCCAAGCTTTGCTGCAGTGTGACAGTTCATGAGCTCTAGAAAATGAAACTGACGAAAAGAAAAGTGAAATTGATGGCTCACTGTATAAACTTGGGAAGGGGAAAAGTGAACAATCATCATCAGATGATGAAAAGTAAATTATTTTTAAAATTCTTTTTCTAAATCAAGCATATTGGAAACATAAATAAGAATTTGTATTAAAATGGATGAGGTTTAAGCTACTGTAATAATGTCCTTTTAAAGAGCACATTTGTAAACTAGACATAATGGGAGCAACTGAGGGGAGAGGGTTCCCAGCCCTCACCAGTCAAACGGTTGTTACACAGTGAGATTGTGGATAACTCACAGATCCCTGCAGTAATAGCAACCCAAGAAGACTACAATGCATTATATTGGAGTAAATGGCTTAGTGTGGTTTAGGTTTTTGCTTTTGTGTGAGTCATTCAGTTAAATGTCTAGATTAGAAAGAGGAGCAATGCAGTAAAAACTATATACCTGTTTTTCATCATCTATGAGCATTAGCATAATGAACTCCTGCCAAGCCTGGAGGGGGTTGGGGGGGTTCCTCTCTGGAGTTCCACCTTGGTACAACTCCCTGGGATAAGAGCGGTGATGGTAAACTTTCGGGCCAGCAAGACTAGCAGAGGGGAGGCAAGCAATTCCGTGCCCCTGACTTTCCTAACCATTCCTACAGTTTTGGAGCACTAAGTCTAGACATAGGGGTGCTCCAACCAGCTCTGAATGTGCCCCTTCTCCATACCCGCCTACATATCTCCAGTATGCATACAAAGGTTTCTCTCTAATATCTTGCGGGATTGGTGGGGTCAGATACCATTGGAATAAGTTTATCATGATTCCTTTAATAGTCACTGATGTAGCATCAGACCAGCTTTCCCCAGATTAGGTAGCATTGCTCCATTATTTACCTACTAAACTGCTCTGTCTTCTTGGGTAATTGCATTGCTGCTCCATATCTGTGTTTGAGCCCTTTGTGTAACCTTGATATCAGACCTGTAGGGTCTGTGTTTTGTGATCGCGTGGACTTGGCTCTCATCAATGGCACATCAAATGCCACATTTTGTGGGGCCAAGAACATAATGCCTGAACTGTTTTTAAGAACAAAAACACGTGCCCCCCTCAGTCTCATGTGGGTGAATGTGGATTTGCTTTGCAAAAAACTCACACTTTCCTTGTGGGATATTTGTGCTGTTTCTCTTGTGACTGTTTTCATGGGGCAAGTGGGGGGGAAGGAGAATCTGGATTTTCCTGTAATTGGCGTGAAAGACAATGGGATGTAACATCCTTCCCAACTGTATTCCACAGAAGTGCCCTCATATAGGGGGGGTGTGTGTATTTGTTGTCCACCTCATCTAGGAAGGTGACTGTCCCCAAGGGATATCTGGAATGTAAGTTCTGACCTAGCACCTTTCAGATTTCCCTTGAAACTCTGTATCTGTTGTTTCTCTTGGAGAGAGACGGTCAGGGTAAATATCACTTTAATTTGACATAATCCGTTGGGATTTTAGCAGAGGATTTGATAGTCTCTCATTAAAGTTAATTCATAATAGCTTGGAAATGACACTGTCACATGGGATTACAAACTGGAAGATTGGTAAGCAAAGAATAATGATAAATAGCAATGGATCTAATTGCAGGAAGGTGTCTAGTTGGTACTATAGGGCTCTATTAAATTCTGTCTTATTGAGTGTTCCTCAGAGATGGAGAAGAGGGTATGGAGAGCATGTTCATGACAGTCACAAATGATACAAAATTAGGAGGTGCTCGGAGCTCAACTGAGGACAGATGTGTGTGATCCAAAGGAACACAGAGATTAGAAATGTGGAGAAAAATCCTTTCCCAGCATCAATAAGTACAAGATAATATATTGGGGAGGGTGACGGGGGTGTGTGGGAATAATCTGAAGCAAATCTATTCAGTGGCAAGAAGGGGCATGTTAAGCTGTAATACTGAAGGGCAGGTTTAGGGGTGAGGAGGACAAGGAGGCATGAAGTCTGAGAGCAAAACAGCCTAATGGAGTTTTGGGTTACATATACATAGGCATTTTGTAGGTATGATGGGGGAAATGGAGGAGCATCTGGAAGCAGCTGTTTAACTTTAGTCTGGGGAAAGGAAAAAGTTTCTCTCTTTCTGTGGGAACACGGTACAGTGGGGTGGGTGGAGGGCTTTTTGGGTGGACGGTGAGAGTGCAGGTTGGCTGAGAAACCTGGACTGGGGCTGCTGGTGGAGTTGTTATGGAGGGGCAGAGAGTTGGGAAAAATTGTAATTTACACAGTGCTTCTTGGGTGTCTTTCTGCTTGTGGGTCCTGTCTTTAGATTATAAACTGTCTGGGGCAGGGATCAGCTTCTATTCTGAGTCTGTGTGACACCTAGCGCAAAGGGGTCCTGACCCTTTAGGTGCTACTGTAATAGAACATCTAAATTAAACATCTAAAAAAAGATGTATTAGAATTGGACAAGGTTCAGAAAAGGGCAACAGAAAGGATTAGGGGTATGGAATGGCTTCCGTATGAGGAGAGATTGATAAGATTGGGACTGTTCAGCTTGGAAAAGAGACAGCTAAGGGGAGATATGATTGAGGTCTATAAAATCATGACTGGTGTAGAGAAAATAGATAAGGAAGTGTTGTTTACTACTTCTCATAACACAAGAACTAGGGGTCACCAAATGAAATTAAGAGGCAGCAGGTTTAAAACAAATAAAAGGAAGTATTTCTTCACACAACGCACAATCAACCTGTGGAACTCCTTGCCAGAGGATGTTGTGAAGGCCGAGACCATAACAGGGTTAAAAAAAAGAACTAGATAAATTCATGGAGGATAGGTCCATCGATGGCTATTAGCCAGGATGGGTGGGAATGGTGTCCCTAGCCTCTGTTTGCCAGAAGCTGGGAATGAGCGACAGGGGATAGATCACTTGATGATTCCCTGTTCTGTTCATTCCCTCTGGGGCACCTGGCATTGGCCATTGTTGGAAGACAGGACACTGGGCTAGATGCACCTTTGGTCTGACCCAGTAGGGCCATTCTTACATTCTTATATCCTCCATCTGGGGTGGTAACACTCTGATTGTGCCCCTCTAGCAACTCCCTCACTGGTCATTTTAATATACGTTTGCACCATTTCGTAGGTAATGTCTGGGGTTTTCTACAGCAGTGCTTGTGTTACAGAGCTGGAATGCTTGTCGCCAGCTGAGGAATGGTTTTTAAAGAGAAATCATTACATGTGTTTAAGAAACAGGCATTCTGTAGAGCTGGGGATTCAGGGGCTGCCACACCAAAACTTCAACTCTGCCACAGCCTGCCTGGATAAGATTCTGTCCATGCATCCCTGATTTTGCATATTTGGCAGGAGGGAAAAATAAACCCATTCACCCATCTCAGTGTTGCTGGGAATCTTCTGCTTTCATGAACCTTTGCATGCACATAAGGCAGCATTCATAAAACAGGCTGGCTCTGTTATACATTTGAATATTAATAAATATTGTCTTTTTCAGGATTATTATGGAATTACATTCCCTGCTCCTGCAACCTTGACAGGCAGAGATGGGAGCCTTGCTAACAACCCATACTCAGGTTAGTAGTAATTCAAGATGGGGATGATGGTTGAATAGAAGCATTGGTTTCTGAACGTAGGGCATGCTGCTATGGCCAAAGGAGCAATCCTGGCCTCCTCTCTGCAGGCAGCTGAGCCGGCCAGTCCAAACTCGTTAGACAAGAGCAGGAATCATAAGTGGCTACATTTCAGCTTCTGACAGTGGATTTCCTTAAGATGTTAACAGGAATATTCAGCCAATATCTACTCCATACACAAGTCCTATCATGTGAAAGAGGGATTTAACTTCCGAATTGTAGTCCATCCCAAAGCTAATACAAGGTTGTTCCTTGCGGTGCTGTGTCTGGGTTTAGATGACTCAACTGATAGAACTCTTTCTACTGGGAAAGTATCTGCAGCTAATAACTCCCATTCTTGGTATTCAGCCTCCTTTGCTCAGCGTCAATCTGTTACTCTTGGTTAGACCCTTTCAGACCTCTCTAAATGCCTTTCTGACTTCATTCCATTCCATAGTTATTGTTTGTATTGTGGTAGCACCTACAGGATCTCTGCCTCCACACCCCCAGAAATTGATGAGTGCACTGCCTTGGAAGCTGTCCCCAGGACACTAGTGTGGTTAGGTTTCTTGTTCGGATTGCCTAGTGCTACTAGAAGGCCTCTTGTGGGCTAATAATCAAATTTCCCTTCCTACGTCTTTAATTAGTTGGCTTCAGATGCAAGCCTGGCTTTCCTGACCTTTATCTACTGTCTCCAGAGCTCTGGTGCTGTGAAGAACCAGAGATCTAATTGGTCATACTTGGCAAATAGAGACTTGCATGTTTTTGTCAAAGGCCCTCATTCCTTTAGCCCAGGAGATGTTGCTAGCCAGGTTAACTTCTGGGAGAGTGGTACTTTAACCCAATTAACAGTTTGCTGTTTGGCCACTCAGAGCTTATGCTTATAGTACATTTAATGTAATGATCTAACACTCAGTGACTGAATCCCCCTGTGCAACAGATAAGGATTGTTATCTCCATTTTGTCAGCGGGATAACTGAGGCACAAAGGGTTCTCTCTTGGCCAGGGTCACACAATGAGTTGATGGAATGGAACCCACGAGTCCTGGCTCTCAGTCCCTGCTCTCACCACTAAACTCTCACATCCTCTTGATTGTAGCACAAGCCCAGCCCCTGATAGTTTTTGCCAGTGCTGGAGAGCTGAGAAAGCAAAGGATGGGAAAGGACCCTCCTGAAACAGTTGATGGCTTTTCTTGCAGGTGATGTAACAAAATTTGGCCGCGGGGATTCTGCCTCCCCTGCTCCTGCCACCACGTTGGCCCAGCCGCAGCAGAATCAGACGCAGACTCACCACACCACTCAGCAGCCCTTCCTAAACCCTACGCTGCCCCCAGGATACAGCTACACGGGCTTACCATATTACGCCAGCGTGCCAGGAGTACCCAGTGCATTCCAGTATGGGCCCACCATGTTTGTAAGTCATGGGAACTAAACCTTACACTACTAGCTGCCCTCTTTGTGCTTCTCTAGCTTTGCCTAGTGCAGTCCTGGCCCTTTAAAGTTCCCCCTATCCTGCAGGGCATTTCTGGTGAAATGAGGCTCAGCTTCCATCTGGAACTTCTTCTTTTGTATGGCAACTTGGCAAGCAACATTAAAGCTTGACATCCAAGTTTGTCATCCACTCTGTGCCTTCCGTGTAGAATGACAGTGTCCATGCAGGACTAGAGGAACGTTAAAGGGCCAGGACTGTAATATTCTAACTTTATGTAGGCAATGGTGAGTGGTATAGAGCTTCAGCAGAGATTGTTGATCAGTGTCAAAAATTCGTTGGGGCAAGGGGGGTGAAGGTGATGGTTCATCCAGGAGTTACAAATTTGAGCCCAATAGCATTACAGCAGCCCCTGATGGCTGCTGGAAAGGGAGGCAGAAGCTGAGTCAGTGTACTGGGAGAGGCTGGAGAAATCAGTTAGGGGGAAGAGGCTATGGGACACCAATGGGAGACTGGGAGGCAAGGGGTTCCCGGGGGGAGGAGGAGGTAGAGGGAGAAGTGCAGACAGTCTGTACAGGGCTTGGATCCAGGCTTTGTACATTTTTATTATAGAAAATAAATACCAGGCTCCCTGAGTTATGGGGCTGTAATCCCACCAGTGTGTTTGGGTGACTCCGGTTTGTGATCTCCAGACTCTTGAGGGAATTCATTGTTCACTGTGGTTTTATAAATGTATAAAACATGCATGTTTCTTGGGGTGGAGATTACCTAACAATTACAGAGCAAAGTTATCATGTATCCAAGCTTGGAAGTTACTGTCCTCATTTTACAAGAGGGGTAAACTGAGGCAGAGAAGCTGTCTCTCTCTCACAAGGCTATACTGCAGTCAGGGTGGGAAGTTGGAGTAGAACTCATGGGTCCTGGCTCCCAGTCCTGCACTAGATCTCACTGCTCTGAGGTACTGCGAAAGGAACTGGGAATTTCCTGGCACTTTAAAGTCTTCTATTTCACAGCTGGGAGATGCAGTGCAGGGCTGCCAGCAGAGACATGGGATGACCTTCCCCACTAGATAGCAGTGGAAACTGGCTTTTATGCTGTTTTCTAACTGAGAATTCCCTTTTGCCTCCAGGTACCTCCAGCATCAGCCAAGCAGCATGGCGTCAATTTGAACACTGCTTCCACCCCATTTCAGCAGGCAAGTGGTTATGGACAACATGGTTATGGAGCAGGTAAGGTTACTCCAATGGACAGTGCATCTGTGCCATTTAATTTAATGTCCTCAGAGCTGCTTGCTCATGGTAGCACTACGTCTTGTCCACGTTGGCAGGCTATGATGACTTAACGCAGGGAACAGCAGCTGGAGACTACAGCAAAGGAGGCTACAGTGGATCATCTCAAGCACAAAACAAATCTGCTGGCACTGGACCTGGGAAAGGTAACAAATAAAGGGATCTGAGGTGCACATAAGCACTTCAGATCAGGGATCTTGCAGGGCAAACTTCCAGCATTCCCAGTGTCAGGTCAGCATGACGACCAACTCTCAAATGGGGTGAGTCCCAAGCTGTTTCTCCATCTCTCATGTTCAAAATGCTTTTAATGTTCCAAACGTTCCTTCTAAGCCAACAGCTGAATTTGTGTAAGGAGGTGAGTGGCTGAAGTCCAGCTTTGTTCAGTTACCCAGAGGAGAAACAGCAAAGCGTTACCTCTGCCAGCTGAAAGCTAAAGTTCGCATGTGGTGGAGGCATAGTGGCACTCCACCAATGCTAGGTCCCTGATCCCAGAGCAGCTGTCTCTTTGCTGAAATGGTTACCACTTAGATCATGAATGTTATTTACATTCATGATTAGGCTCCAGAATCAACACCACCCTTTGAGGTGAAGGGGGCAAGTATCAGCTCTCTGAGTTAGTGTTTCAGGCTCTCCGGAGACTCCATCACTGATAGCATCCATTCATACCTGGAATGCTTTCTTTGCATACCACAAGGGCTAGAACATTGATTTGTTTTATATGAAACCTTAAATTCTGCAGATGCTAGTGGGACCACTTGAGAAATGTACACTGACCACCTGGCAACAACTAATCCAACCCTGACTTAAGTAAATACTGGCCAGAAAAATCTTCCTCAGACCAGCTGCTCAGTACCTATATCCTCAGCCTTGTTATTCACATGTCTGAGAGCAGTGGAAACCCCGCCAGCCCAATCCTTTCATTCATCGGCCAGAGACCTTGATCTTTGTTTCTTGCGTAAGTGAAACAGCTCAAGTTGTGAGCCCTGATTCTAGTTCACACTGGGAATGAACGGCCAGCCTCCCAGCTGGTGATCCCCAACTTGGTTCTGATCCTGCCACACTAGCTGGTTCAGCAACTGTGGACCGGGGAACCACACAGTGTCTTTTAGCGTGCACCCTAATTTGAGGGGAACGTTGACTTCTCTTGATCTAAATGAACGTTCAGTGCCCCTAGGTACTACCCAGCTTGGTGCCTTAGAAATGGTGATGTAGCTTGTGGATAGTGGGCACGGGCAGCGTACACCAGTGGTCTCACGCCTGATTTATGAAGGGAGCTCAGGAAATAGGCCTTTGCACTTTCTTTTGACTCCTAATGTGGGGAATTGTAGAGGGGCTGGGATGGCATGGGAGGAAACTGCACACCCCAGCCAGGAGTAGCCTCATTTGATATAGTGTGTTGGGGTGGTGACACCGAGGATGTAGGCAACAGCCAAGGGGCATTATGGGGCTCCCAGGAGCAAGGGAAAGAAAGGGTCAGGTTGGGTTGCCTTTGGCTCTTTCGTTGTCAGCGGCTTTTTGTTTTCCAGGTGTTTCTGTGACCTCAAGTAACACAGGTGTGCCTGATATCAGTGGCTCAGTCTATAACAAGACTCAGGTGAGGAGCTATGGCTCATTCTTTCTGAGAAGCATGAACATGCCCTCCTCCCTCCTGTGCCCAAGGGTAAAATTGTCAGTTCACTGGCCAGTGTCATTTCAGCAGGACTCGTCCTCCCAGGGAGCCTCTTGGCCACTGGTGATTTCTCAGCCCTGTTCCAAGGGGTAATCCCAGACTCTGGCCTTTCTCCAGCACTCACTCACTCCGCTTGATTTTAAAGAGGACTTCCAAGTGTCTCATTTGACACCACTGCTCTTTTCCATCCTTGGCCTGCTCTTGCCATGCTGACTCATGACAAAGGCTGTTAATGTGGAAGCAAAGATTCCTGCATTGTTGCCTAACTTCGGTTGAGTCCCGAGATGCTGTTAAAATGCGATATCACAAATGTTTTAGGGCTGAATTGTCCTAAACACAGGGCCATAGCATCGTCTCGAGAGAGGCTGGACTGTGTGGACAAACACAGATCTGTAATGATGGCCATGGACTTTCTCTGTTCCTTTTGAGCTGTGTGTGCATTGATCCCAGATCACTCCATCTTCCACCCAGTGCCGTTGTCTTGTGGCTGTTTGTGGTGCAGCTAGTCTCCCCTTGAAAAGCTGTGGAATAAATGGGGTTAAGTACTAATTCCCTATTCCACTCTCTGGAGCATAGAATCCCTACGCCCTTTTGTAAGGGCATTGGGGTGGGGATCCATGTAGGTATTTCTGCCTACCTGGGATCTGCTCCTGCATTTCTGATGAGCGGGGCTGTACATACTTTGAACAAATGCACGTGGGCCTCAAATCTGCTGCTCAGCACCAGATGCGAGGGTTTGGGGACTTGAAGCAAAACTCCTGCTGTGATCTCTTCTGCCATTTTTACTGAGCAGCCCTGACTGGCTTAAATATTTCCTGACTTCGTTATGAGCAAATTGATTGCTAAGAACTAGTTTTTTTTGCTGGTCCGCTGCATTGTATAGAATGTGCATGAATTTCCTGCCTGTGGGGAAGCCAAGAGGCCATCTTCTACTGTTAATAGGCACAATTTAGTGTCTGTCAATGGATCATTTACTCTTGAGTCACGGACAATTACTGCTTGTTTGTGGTATTACCCACAATGTATTAGGGACTTTCTAAACACTTAAGAATGGCTTCTGCTCTGAGGAGCTTGGAGTCTAAGGACAAACAAGTAGACAGGTCAGAGAAAGTGAAATCACAATGGGCAGTTGATAGCCAAGTCAGCCGATTCACTCCAGGCAGCACAGTAGCGTGCCTTTAAGAGGCAAAGATAACACTTGATTGTAAATATCTAGCTAAAGTGCCGATGTGTATTAGATCTGGGTTTGTTTACTGGATTGGTAAAGAGTCAAAGTTCTCTTTGTTCAGGCAACTCTTGTCCTTGTTCGGTCACCCAAAGGACGCTGAGGAAAGTGTCTAACTGCTTCCCTGTTGCCTCCATGCAGACGTTTGACAAGCAGGGATTCCATGCTGGCACACCACCTCCTTTCAGCCTGCCATCTGCTCTTGGATCCACTGGGCCACTGAACCCTGGTGCTGCCCCAGGTTATGCTCCAGCCCCTTTCCTGCATATCCTGCCTGCACATCAGCAGCCTCATTCCCAGATGCTGCATCACCACCTTCAGCAAGATGGGCAGGTGAGTCTGTCAATCCCTGGTGCCTTTCTGAGGCTGCTGCTCAAAGTAACTCGATGACCATCAGCCAGAGAGCGTGTCCAAACTGATCCCACCCATCACAGGTACTCTGTCCTGTTCCTTTTGGCTCTGCCCATTGGCAGAGTACCTCGTTAGGTAATACAGACTAAGATGCCGTGTTCCCAAGAGTGCAGAGACACACAGCTCTAGGAGCCAGCAGAGACTGCCACTCTCTTTTCCTGGGCAGGTCATGGAGATGTTTACAACCATCATAATTGTTCTGTGACAATAAAAGAAATACAGCTAGCAACAAAATAAGCCCCCCTCGCCAGCTCCCCTAGTATCTCTGGTGGTTCTGCATTCAGTTTCTCTGGCCAGTTCACTTCCCTTCATCTCTGTTAATGTCTCTTGAAAAATATGCAAAGTTCTGCTTTGAGTCTGAACTTAACAAATTGTTTCCCTGTCCCTGGATGTGTCTGACGTCTTACGCCTTTGTGCTCTGGTGTCCAAGCCCTCCCTGGAGGGACCTCCTTTGCCCACCCAACTTCTGACCATTTTCCTTCACTCTCCTTGTTTTTACATGCCTCTTCTAATTAGTTTTCTGCAGTGTGGCTTATTATCCAGAGAAATCATGGACTTAGTTCAGGTCATGCAGCTGGTCACGTTCTTGATCTAGAGTTGGCTGGCATTGGAGTTAGCCGGCATTGGAGTTAGCCACTTGGATGATTTTCCTGGATCATGGGCCCATCATTGTCTCCTGCTGTTTGAGTTTGGAGGGGTGGGGAATGTGTTTTGGTCCTCTGCCCTAAGAGACTCACGGAACTGGAGTGTTCCCAGAGGGCATTGAGGGAAGGCGGTCTTGTTCCTTTGACAGATTACTCTTATCAATGATTAGGTTGGCTTTAATAAGTCTTTCACCCCCTACCGTCACCACAGTGACCCCAAGTGTCCTATGCCTCAGATTTGTCCTCCTAGGTTATCTTGGTTAACAGACGATCAGCAAGAGAGGAGATCGCTCAGGTGCTGGTTGGGAAAGTCTCAAGCTGACTGCATCAAAGATTTTTAAAAAGATCTTTTATTGTGAGTGGTCAGGAAGCAGAGTGGGAGAGGGGTCTCTGCTTCACCCAGGCTGTCAGCTGACTTGTTTCAGGTCGTGGACAGTTTGGTTAATCTTAGTTCTTCTCGGCTGAGTTGAGTTCCTCCTCTTCTGAGGAAACCGCTAGTTGCTCTGTGGTGAAAGTCACCTAGATTGGGGCTGAGTTGTCTGTGTTCTGGAAGGCAGGACGGTATCTTGGCAGCAGGGGACAAATGCTGCAGCATCTCTGCTTGAGTGTCTGCCCATAATGTATGTTGAAGTGCTGAGAGAACTCTGACATCACAACCTGTGCTCTGGGCCCATGTCCCTCCTGACTCCTAAAGGCCAGTGCTAGTGGAGATTGGTGTTTTCCAAGCAGATATGAGATGGCCTGACGTCCAGTTACATCACGTGACACAGCCAGAATGGCGGTCATCCAGAGTCGACTCTTCCCTTTGGGGTTCAGGTTGTTGTAAAGGTTGTGGCAAAACGCTTCTCAGAGCATCCAGATGCTTTGATTCCATTGACCTGTAGAAAGCTGGGTACTGGCCGTGCCCTCACTGTGCAGTTTCAAGGAATCTCTTCCTTGCAGCACACTATCACTCCCAGCTAATCACTTAAGCCATCTCCTTGCTAAAGCACACAAGAAAATTTTCTGGCTGAAAAGAGGCAGCGAGGTGGTTGGCTGACTTGTCCCAGATGGGGCAAGCCTTGTGGAAATGAGCTTACTCAGCACTTCTGCCATGTGTTCCTGGTGGGATTCACTTTGGCTGTTTGTGGATTGTGTTGAGGCCTGGGGCAGCGTGATGCTGGAATTCCCAACTCTTCCCCCAAAGTGGGGCCAAGGGACACCATTTCCCTGCTTTAACAGAGATTTTGCTGCTTTCAAAGGCCATCCCCAGGGCTGCTGAGAGGATGGATGGGGCAGGCAGGTCTTTTACTGCTCCAAGGTAATAAATGCAGTGTGCTCCCTGAGGCTTCAGGATTAGGGATCCAGCCGCGGTGGCTTCTGATCTGAACATGTGCTCCCTTTTCATTTCTTTCCAGGGTGGATCTGGCCAGCGCAATCAGCCAAGCACCATGCAGCAAAAGTCTCAGGCTACCAAAACCGCCTATGGCACTTCTCCATACTGGACAAACTAAAACCGAAACAAGGAAGGGGGAAGGCAGGGGAAGACTGAAAGAAGAAAAAGCCGATGCCCATTCCTGGAACTATTAGGAGAAAAAGTAACTGCTCAGCCAAACGTCTGTGTGGGGAGAGCTGCAGCCAGCCATCCTTCTGTGGCTCTCGCCCGCTCCCTCTTTGAGTTGCTGTTGTATGTAATATATTTATGTATGTATTTGTAAATGTAATAGAGCCTACATGTGGTTTCTGCATCTTTGCAGCCTGTTTTATTTTCTTTGTAGGGAGAATTAATTATTCACTTCCATTCTGCATCAAGGCATCTTCCTTTTTTTTTTTTTTTTAAAGCTCTGTGGGCTTTATAATTTGTCAAGAGAAAAACTGTGCCGTTTCGGTGAAGAAGGAGCCCATTTATTTAACGTAGTTCCTAGTTCAGGCAGATGGGAAGGCCTGACCCAAAAGACAAATCCAGGGTTCTGTCTCCTGTTGGTTTGATTTTTTTCTTTCAGATGTAGCTGTTACGGTTTGCGGGCCCTCTCCCTTCTTTTGTCCCCTGCCTCCCCCCATCGCCTCTGGTGGGGAAGACGAACTCTCGTGGGCAGTTTTGTTACCATGGCCACGAGCTGCAGCATCATCTTTTTATTTCACAATTTTTAAATAAATAAAAAAAAATTGACAGGGTTTTTTTTTGTTTCTCTAGCAAGAGACTTTGGATGGCTCAGTCAGCGTGTCCTGGAACCTCCTTTGCATCATTAGAGGCAAAACTATGTAGCGGTTTCTTAAATAAAAGTATAAGCTGTGTCTTGTACCTCTTCTTGCCCCAAGCCACCCTGCCCAGGATACCCAGAGCTAATGGATGGAAACTTCATTACCCCTCCCCACTTCTTCTTCTTCTTCTTTTTTTTTTAAAAGACTGAAGGAGGAAGCTCTTGGTCCTTCCTGTCCTGCACCAGTACGGTGAATGTTTTAGAAGTTTCATTTCTTTTTAGCCCTTACTCCACCTAATAAAGATCTGAGCGTATAACTGGTGTTTGCTGTCTCCATTAACAAAGACTCGAGGAGCTTTCTAAACCCCTTCCCATTCCCTCTCCTGCAGACAGTGGGATGAGACCATCAGCGTGGGCAAGGGGTTTTGGGGAGAAGGGGTGTCTGTGCCTTCAAAGGCACTACCAGCTGTTTAGAATTGGGTAGCAAGCTGGATCTCCGCTAGTTAAGCCAAGTGGATGTAAAGAGAGTTCTGAGGGGTGCATGGTGTGATCTGTGCACCTCATCCTGGAGCTATTTAGCTAGCTGGAGCCTCTTACGCTACAGCCCCGTGCAGTGGAAATAGCGTCTTCATTGTATGACCTCCAGGCTGGTCCTCTCCTCCGCAGCCTACTGCCCCAGAAATGTGGCTTCATGGATACAGCTGTTGGGCTTTTATTAAAAAAAAAAAAAAAAAAAAAGCAGCTGGTGTCCAGGGACAAATGCAAAAGTGGCCCCATGCAACAGCATGTGTAGTGATAGTCTGGCAGCTCGAGCCAGTTTGAATGCGCTAGAGACAGCAGTAAGGAAGGGTGGAGAAGAGCTGCCCTCCAGTGCTCTTTTAAAGAAAGAAAAGGACGTTGTGGCTGAAGTTCAAGGGAAAGGTGAAGTCACCAGAAATGTGACTGGCTCCTTTCACAGTGGGGATCAGTACTGGCATCTTTTTCCTATCCTAGGGTGTGGAAGAACAGACTCCTCTGACCCACAGTCTGATGCCTGCCCTAATGTTGCCTTCAGCTCAGAACTACAGCCAGCAGAGGCTGCTATGGTACAGGTAGAGGCTTGCCTTAGATTGAATAGGGCCAGAGTAAGCAATGAATTCAGAAGACTTAAAATGCCAGCAGGTTATCTTAGAAAATGGCTGGCAGCCCAAATGTGTCAGCTCTGGTCCCGTTTGAGAGCACAAACACCCTGTCAAGGTTTAGCTGCAAATCCCCAGAGGTGGTTCGAAGTGGGCCTTTGCCTGTGTGCTAAAAGCCACTGATGAACTCCATTGGGGGTGTTTTGCTTACAGCTGGTTTAGGAAGTCCCTAGGGCCCCCTGTGTAACTGAGGAATGACACTTGGGGTTTTCATGCTGGCTTCAATTGGATCATCTCTGATTTATGTACTGCTAGAGGGCACTAAGTGCAAGCTGCTCCTGTTGGAGTGGAATTCAGGGCAGCACAGAACCACCCACACCCCAAGTTCCTTTGCAGGACACCTTTAAAGCTTCCCTGTGGGAAGGAAATGGGTCAGTTTTCTTGCCAGGTGCCTCAGGCTGAGGAAGAGGTAATGAATCTGTGGCTGATTGCCATATTTGGGGTTGGGAAGGAATTTTCCTCCAGGGCAGATTGGAAGGGGCCCTGGAAGTTTTTCACCTTCCTCTGTAGCATGGGGCACGGGTCACTTGCTGGAGGATTCTCTGCTCCTTGAAGTCTTTAAACCAAGATTTGAGGACTTCAATAGCTCAGACATAGGTGAGAGGTTTATCACAGGAGTGGGTGGGTGACAATATCTATGAATCTTCTTTAGGGAAAATGGGAATATTTTAAACGATTTTGGGGTCCAAACTTTTCAAAGGCTACTCAAGCCTGAAAACTGCTTTTACTTTGGCTTTTCTGCATCTGTTTCTAGCAAGAAGCAGAAATCAGTCTTGGTGGTAGGAAAGACTTTCTGGACTTTTAATAGAGTACCCAGAGAATGGTAAACACTAGCCACATCCCCTTTTTTTTTTTTGTGGGGGGAGGAAAGTTAAAGCTAGCCATGCAATATTCTCTTTGAACTTTGAGGCCTTGGAGAAGATTTTGAAGTATGTTTTTTTCCCTCATGAGGTATGTGGCCAGTCAAAGTTAAGCAGGGGTCTTAGGGCTCTATGGGAGGTGCATACAGGTAACCTTGACACCACTACTCTGCTCCCAGTTGGAAATTCACCCTCCAGCAGGCCAGCATGTTCTCTAAGCACCATTTACAATGTATTGGACAGTTTTGAGCTGTAGGCCCTCTAGGGGGTGGGGAAAGTTTCACACTTTGGTAAACTTACTTGGAGAGAGCCCTGGGAGAGCAAACCTGGTCTATTACTGGTACAACCACAGAATCATTTAAGAGTTGGCAACCTCGGCACAATGAGTGAGGAGAGGTGTCACTGATAGTATTTACTGACCAAATTAAAGGCAGGGGCTGGAAAGAGGACCAGTCTGTGACTCAGCATGGTTTAATAGATTTCTGAAGTGGGGCTATGTATTGACCAGCTTCTACCAGGAAGGGTCAAGCCTTCCCTTTTCAAAAGCGTGAGATGCTTTTAATCTACTTCCTTGGTTTGTAGCAGCTCAGATTTTAGAGCTACCTGGCATTAAGACTGCCTCTTTCATTGATTAGCTGGCTCTGGGTAGGCAGAAACCAGCTTTGCCAGCAGTGTGGATAGTCATCACATGTATAACTCAGCTACTAATTGCTACAGGTAGTTTCTCATGGTCTGTCTACACTGCAATTGAACACTTAAGGGCCTATTTAATTGCAGGGTAGATGTTTGCTGGGTCCTAGACTGGGCTGAGTGTCTACGCTGCAAGTAAAAACCCACAGCTAGCCTATGCCACCTGGCTCAGGTTCACAGGGCTGTGTAATTGCAGTGTAGACGTCTCCTCAGAGTTGAGATGGAACCTGCTGCCTTTCATTACTTCTCTACCTGAATACTGGAAAGCACCAGCAACATCTGTACCACTGAGCTGCCTTGTTAGTGTCCAGTCTACATCTCCTTGCAGAACAGGCTTCATTGCCCTTTGGGGCTGAGCTCTGGAGAAAGGGGGGTTGGGCAGGTCACCTAGAAAACAGAACAAAGGCCCTGCAGTCCTTTCTGGGAAGTAGCACTCATCTGCAATCCTTTATGGGTTCTGCATTGACAGCAAGCACCGTGGCCTCCTTCTCAGGGTGTTGTGAGCTGGAGATCTGCACCTTCTTCACACCTGCAGCCCTCGTCCCTCTGTGCTACTCTTGTCAGTTCCAGCTGGAGGAGTAACAGGCCCTGCAGCAGCTTGAACCTGTGCAGAAATAAACAAGCACCCTTCCTGGGGGGGCAGACTCAACTCTGTTTTGCACCACCCTAGCTGCCTACTCTGTGATTTCTCTATTGTCTAATATCCTACTAAGAGTTGTGGTGCCCACCCAGCAGTAGGAGGGGCTTGCTACTTGCCAGTGACTTGTCCCTCTCTGTCCACAGGCAGCCAGCTTCCCCCATCATGCAGTAGGCGAGGTGGAGCTTCACCACTGAGCAGTGCCTGAGGTACGGTTGGTAGGAAGTATATTTCAACAGGGGTGATTCAGGGGCCTTCAGCCTGATGAAAATACAATGAGCAGCTTATTTATCTGCATTCAAGCACTTTACTGTATTTTCAGCTGGCTGAAGGCCCCTGAATAACCCCCATTGAAATATACTTGAGTGGATTTAGGATTCACATTTCCAGGTAGGCCTAGGGATGCAGCCTGTACAGGCAAGGCCTTCTCTTCCATTACATCAACCTAAATTATTCTGTCACCATAAGCCTAGGGTCCAGAAGAATTTGTAAAGGTGTGAAACTTAAGCTTATGAAGCTGAAACACTAAGAGGGTAAGTATCTTTTAGTTGCATAGTCCCCTGAAGTTAGGTTTGTTGTGGGGTCATTTCCCTGTCTTATGGTGGTTTTTTCCAGGCACTGCCCCTGCCCAGGGAATGTTTGCCTCAGTAGGTCCAGAGAGGTGCTCTAGGCAACACGTGAGTAACAAAAATGAAAGGAGAGCAGCATTACACAGAAGTGGTGGTTGAACAGTGGCATTTCAAGTTAGTGAAGACTGGATAGTCTCTCACCCCTTTTTTTTGTTGTGGTTTTTCCAGTATACAAAATTCATACCTGCCTTTGGCAGATGTCCCCTGCATTATACAGCAGTACAGGAAATAGTTAAGTACTCCCTTAGCTTTGATATGTGTCCAGGGCAATGCAGTACACCTCTAGTAGCCAGCCCCTACCAGCAGTCATGCCAGGACCATCTTCACACAGCTCCACTCGCACTAAGGTGCAGTACGATCATTGATGGGAGAACTGATTGCTGAAACAAAGTTTACCACCACTCAGGGCCATTCACTGTTCCGTACGTTATTGTCTAGCAGTAGTTACACGTCATAGTGAGTGGGTATTCACTAGAGGGAAACATCAACTGGCCCTGATCTAATTTTAGACCTATTGTAGCATTTGTTCATTCTAACATCAGCAAATACTAGTTATGGGGAAGGGGAATAGGGAGATTGAAGTTTAGGACACACCTGTCCATGAGGCCAGCCTTCTTCAACCAGGTCTTGGCTTACGAGCTCACAGGGTACAGGTCACTCCAGTAGCTGTTTTAAGTCCATTTCCACTATGCAAATAGCCATCAGGGTCTGCCGTGACCACTTAAGCCAGGTTTCACTGTGGTCATGTTTTGCTCCTAATGAAATCAGCAGCAACGCTTGTTACTTCAATGGGAACATGCTCAGGCACTGTATAAAGCAAGATACCTTTAGGCAATTGAGACACTGGATTAATTCCAGTGTAAGAAAAAATCTGGACACCCTCTATTAAAGTCCTCTCTCTTCTTTGTCATTTAAACTTACCCTTTTCACTTAGTTCTGCCTCAGTGTGGGGCTGGACCAGATGGCCTCGAGGTCCCTTCCAGCCCTACATTTCTATGAGTTTGTCAAGTATGCTAACTGTAGTTCACCAGTGACAGTTTGTGCTGGTCTTTCCTAAAACCATTCTTGGGGCAGGTAGGATTTTCTCCACCATGACATTA